GTCCTCCTGTCCTCCTGTCCTCCTGTCCTCCTGTCCTCCTGTCCTCCTGTCCTCCTGTCCTCCTGTCCTCCTGCAATCAGAAAATGCGGGTTGTCTACGCAACGGTAAGAGAAGTAAACATATGGATACAAGAAGAACAGGAAACGTCGTAAGCAGATGGGAGTGTACATGTGCTTATACAAGGACAGCGGAAGCAATATGGCATGAGCATAAGACATGGGACTTCTCAGGATAGGACAGTATACACATGCAAGAGGTGGAACATCATACATACGGTATGCAAGAGATGGGGCGTAATATCGAACATTTTACCAATGCAAGAAGGCGCCCAATACTGAAATCATCGATGATGCCGGTGGATGAAACTTTTTGGCCTCCATCTCCTAGTCAAGATACTCTCTTACAAAGTAACCCTCGCCGTCCTCCGAGCAAGCAATCCTTCATCGTGGCCGTGCTATACTGAAGCACCTCAAACTGCCATTTCAAATTTCTATACCATCTATGGTAAGTTCACCCGGCAACCTTCTTAGAACAATCACAGGGGCCATCATGTTCTGGGGGAGGGCCTGTCCGGAGCAATGCGGAGGCAACAGGCTGTTAATCTCAGCAATCGTAGTGATAGTCATCTAAGCCGACGAAAACCAGCACAGGAGCAATCATGACTTTGATAAGGTCGTTGCATTGCGGACCGACGAGTGGCTATCGGACAAGGGCAGTTGTTGGGGAAGTGTTCCACAAGGGACATCGAAGTGAGAAGCAGTTTTAAAGGCATTCGTTATGAGCCATCAGAGTGTGGAAAACAGCTGTTTACGGTATTGTCCAGACAATAAAACCTTCTGTGCCATAGAATACCTACTGGCTGAGTACGGAATTTCTTCCATTCAAGTTCGGCTTCCCGCGGCCTGGGTGGTGGTGCCCCTACCGCCCTCGTTCCTTCCCCTTACCTTGGTAACTGCCTTGTCGAATGCCCTGCAGGCCACACTGCAGGCCTCAGCTTGCAATGATAAGCTCAACTCCTCTGTCTCTTCAGAGCTCGTCTCTGTTTCTCTTGTGGCACGATTATCATTGAGCAACCATGGGTACCATGCCAGAGGACTTGCAGTGGTTTGCACAAAGAACAATTGCACTCGCCGCGGAGGCACGAGACACTCTTCAACAGAACCGGGCTGCACTTCCGTCCGTCCCTGTTTCACTTTCAGATGCAGATCCTGCCATCGCTACCCTGCAGGACGGTGCCTTGATCACCACCCGCCAGAAGGAGCTTTTCTGGTATTGGGACATGTTCGGGGTCATCGGGCTGACATACTGCATCCGTCAGATCGCTGTCGAGGAAGCTCACGCCGAGGACCAGACAGGCGTCAACGCCAAAGGCTTGAAACGGAAGCGTACTTCCACGCCGGAGCATAACAGCTCCGTTGACAATGACTACGACGACCCGGATGATCACTCTTCTTGGCGCAAACTCGTCCAAGATTGTGACAAGAGAGAACATTCAAGAGCCCTATTCTACATATCCTCGTTGCCTGCCGAAGTCATCACCGCTCTCATACGGGAGGATCTCCCAAGTAAGATGCAAGAGCGTCAATTCAAACACAAGTACTCCAAACAGGTGGAAATCCAGAACACTCCCGGCACGCACAATGTCTACATCGCCCGAGCTCTCAAGCCGGCGCCAACTCATGGCCCACAAGACGGCAATGTCGCTCCTTGCTCGTCAGAGTCCACATCCGATTCAATGCTCACAGGCTGGGGCTTGAGCTTACGTCAGATGAAGGAAGTAGTTGACACTGTAACCAAGTACATCAATGTGGGAAGTGATGGCTCCGAGGCCTTGGCGCTCGCCATCGATTCGCATGGCGCAGACTTGATTGATTCCCTTGATTACACAGCACAACGGAAGTTTGGAGCTGGGAACAACAAGGACAACTTCGAAGGCCACCGTTTGTGGACCGAGAACTTCCGCTCCAACTATCTGTACCACCTTGACCAGTTGAAGGAGAAAGGCATGGATCAACGTCTTGATCAGCCTCTCCGAAGATGCCTGACGTATACGGGTCTCTCGAAAAACGTGTTGGGACGTGTACCCAAACATTGGAATCCCGGCGACAGTGGAAGTCCATTGCTTGGGTTACTGTTGGCTGTATGTCAGCACCTGTTCGGGAAGGACTTTGACATCAAGGATTCTACTTATCAAGTCTTCAGGACCGTCCAAGTTGAGGACATTGGTCTGGATGAGATGTTGACATGCATCCTCACATCCGCCAATGCTCGGGATGGCGGATTGAACTTTACATGGCCGGGCGGCAGCACTGGGAACAGATCCAGTTTGGACGACGCCAATTACCTCGAAGGACTGAAGAAAAACCGGGACTACATCCGGGATACGGGGTACCAAGCTGCCAACATCCAGGATTCATGTGATCGTATTCACAGAGCCCGTCGCACACTTGGTCTGACGATTCAGAACCGACAGACCCTGAAGGAGGTCGAAGCTGAAAACGAGGAGCTTTCAGAGTTGATAGAAGAGGTCGAGACCGAGGCCAAGTGGCTAGCTGCGGTCGATCAAAACCTCACGCTCGAGCGAGTCCTCGAGGCAGAGGAAGCCCGCAAGTTGGAGCGAGAGGCGCGCGAGGCAGAGGAAGAGGCCCTCCAGGCTGAGCGAGACATCGAGCTTGCCCGTCTGCTAAAAGAACTTGAACAGGAACAGTAGAACGGCCGTGCTACTGACAAGTTTGAGCTTGCGGTCGACAATGTCGTGGACAAAAGTCATTGAAGCCGCACCAGATTTTGGGAAACCTACATCATAGGACTAGTTAGTATTCCTGTAATCTCTTATAGTGTAACCTTTCAAATCCACTGTTTTTGCGGTGCATCATCGTGGCATAGAATGTACAGTTCCATCTTGCATTGGCCCAACGTTTGCAGCTATTCAATTCAAGTCATTTGTGTGTACGTAGGGTGAACTGATCAATTAACACTGTTGTTTCCTACCATATACATAAAAACACCGGTCTAGCACTCTCTGAGCATATGAACCATTCTTTTCAGTGTAACAGCCGACCATACCATGCACCATGCGCAGCTCCATGCACCATGCGCAGCTCCGGCATCTCCCAGCCTCCTACGCCTTTGAGCAGCAGTTCACGCTAATAGTGGGATCCTGTTCCACGCGTGACGTAGGGTGGGAATTTGACTTGGACTCCCCAGCTGAGGCCCAAATGTAGCACGAATGCGATCCTCCTGCTCTCCGACCAGAGTAAAATGTGAAACCTTCTCTTGAACTTGTCTTTGAGCGGTTGTCTTCAGCCGTGAGAGAGAAGTGGAGTGAACGATTTCGGTTCGGCCTCGCGGCGCAAGGTCGCCCGTGAACATTTAACTGTGGGTATGACAGGAAGCGTCTTGTCGGGGCAGTTGAGGAGTGGCCTTGACCGCAGCGGCAAACGTCTGCGGTCTTGTCATTTCGACCGCTTTGCCTTGCGGAAGCGTTGGAAAGTCTTGTGTGAGAGAAGCCGGCTTCTCAGATGGTTCTGGAACGTCTTTCTGCAATCGAGCAGATTCCTGCGGTTTTGCCGCTGTGACAGTTTCATCTTTTGGAAAAATTGAAAATCCTGTCGAAGGAGGAACGGTTTGCTCAACAGTCCGAAGAACACCGATAGGATGGATAACAGGAGCAGGTCGGACGGGGCTGGTCAGGGCCCATTCCCGAAGCTCAACGTTCGAAGGGTTGGGACTGTAGACAATGGGCCCTGTGAATAATGCGGGAGCCGGAGCAAAAGAAGTTTGCTGGGGCGTGTCCTCAGCCTTCCGAGGGGCTTCGAGCCGGTCGTCTTTTGCTCCTTGTGAAGCACTCGGAATAGAGGTATGGGATCCCCTGCGCGATTCCATCGGCGCGTTCGCCGATGGGGTTTCTGTCGCAAGACTTTGGTACACAGATGGTGCCTGAAGGACACTATCTGAAGAACTGTAAAACTCTGTATCTCGCTGCATCTCCCGATGTGGTAAACTGTATGATGGAAGCTGAGACTCCCAACTACTGTTTTCGTGCTGCTGTATTCTGCGGACACATACTGTACATATGCAGCCTGGTGCGTGTCTGTCGGCATCTCGGCGGCAGGAAGGACATTCACATCCTTTTCCGTGAACTAGATGAGCCATCGTGGTTGGCCAATCGATGGTTCTGGTGGTGGTGGTGGTGGTTGTGAACCTGGGAGAAGGAGGAAGAAGTGGATGTTGTATAGATCGCCTTGACGACAATTTGACTGCGCCCGCGGGCTCCACGGCGCGACTTCGACACAGGACAACACAACAGCCTCGACGGCTTATTATACGACAAATCCTTTCTAATATTCTCTATCCGCCAACCTTACCCTGAACCGCCCGCCTCCTCCTTTCCCACCCTTAGATTCCGTTTATTGACCATCCACTTGGTAGCTTTGTCCCTTGCACAATCAAAGCCTAATCAGGCAATCTCCTCTGAGAAGACGGCAAGTCTGACAGACATACCAGCCCGCACGGTACCCACATCCATATAGGATGACCTTCTACCACCTCGGACTTGCAATTCACATAGGAAGTCGCCTAGCCGAGCCCACAACCCGGTAACCGAACTCCTGATTTTCCGAATGGCATCCCATACAAAGCATATCATTTGTTTGAAGATACCATTTTCGACCCGATTCAAGAGGAGGAAGAGGTAAAACCCAAGAGCTGGACACAACTGGGAACATGTTACACGTTGCAACCGTGTCTTGCCTTGTGTTGGCGAAGTCCAGAAAACCGTGAGGCCATAGCGTTGTCTCTCCTGCCAGCCGTGGGCATCCTGTTCTGAGTCTCGTCCAAAGTCCTGTTGGCCATGGTCTTACTGATCTGGATCCTGGAAGTCCGGTATGGACTATATTGCTCCACTAGCTCACCCCTGACGCAGGCAGCCTTGTCGGTTGTGTCAGGAGTTTGGTGGGAGCAAAGGCAGGGCGCCACTTACGTAAGTGGCGTATATCCGAAAGCCACAACTATACTGTAGTTGTACAATTGTAGTATAGCTCCATCAAATGAGTTCATTAGTACTGATTTGTTCACTTGAGGGTATATAACAAGCTCACCCAACCTTCCATTCAAACCCAATCTTCACCTAGCTATGGTCACTACGGAGTTGGAAGTTCGCGGTAGCTGTCTAAATGGTCAAAATGTCGACAAAATTGAATTCCAGGTAAGCAGGATTCGGCATAGGGGATGCTATGAGTAGATGAACGGCTTGGAAACCATTGAGCCGCAGGTAGGTACCTACTTATGTGCCTAAGCTGTGAGGATGTATGGTTGTGAATACGAGCAGCGACAATTTAGCGCAGTCGATACAGACGTCACAAGGCCTGGCGCAGGCAAGTTACTGCCTGCAGTCTGCAGTACTACTAGTAGTGAAAACTGAATTCATTTTCACTTTCCCGATCTTTACCTTGAATTCAACCCCATTTCGACCGCACCATACCGGCAGAATGGCAGGTAACGACTACCGAGGCAGTCATCGAGGCGATGATTACAGAGTTCACAAACCCTACAGAGGCGGCCGAGGAACCGGAAACCGAGGCAGCCACACCAACACTCACAGAGGTGGCGGCAGAGGCAACCATAGAGGACACCGTGGTGACGGTCGATCCCGCCGAAATGACCGAGACGACGTCTCGAATCGGTCACCGGCTGCCCAAATGCGACGCAACTCGAGTCTCGAGGAAGCCGTCAATGCCAGTGTCACAACCATGGACCCAGTCCGAATGTTCCAAGAAAGAAAGGCTGCCACCGATGCTGCCACAGCGGCCATGACGGCAATGCCAACACCGCCACTCCCCGAGCATGCCAACCCGTGGGGGTCACTTCTTCGCAAACTTGAGCTCCGAGAGCAAAAGAGAGCGAGACAAATGAAAGAGGACCAGGCTCCCAGCGCCAACACCTCTTCACATGACGATTCATATCTCTGGGACATGCCAGCAGGCGTTCCATCAAACGCACCTGGCACCACGTCTGGTGCCGGTTCCTCCCAATCGGCCACAGAGGGCACAACCGCTCAGGCACTGGTAGAACAAGAACAGCCCGAGATCATCCGTCCTTCTCCACTCACAGCAGGAAGCGCCCTGTTGCAGCAGAATCTCAGGTTGGCAAGTCTGCCATACTCTGTACAACACCTGAAGTCGCTGGAACTTTCAATGATTCTACATGTGACCCAGCGGCTTTCCCATGAGATCGGCCAGCTCCACTCTGGCAATGTCCCAAATCTCGCCGAAGTTACGGCATTTCTACACCTATCCAGGTCTCTCCGCGGGCTCGAAAATGAGACATGGGCCACCCTTGACAACTTGGTGACGCAAACCAAGGACCTTCATCGGTCGGTTGGACACACTTTGCGCACAGAAAATCTGGCGTTCCTTCGACGGCTCTTACCCCTGATGCAGAGTTGCACAGATGTCATGGAGCGGGCTTCCGGAGGTTGCATTGCCATATGGCAGACCACGGCAACACTTCCTTCGGCTGACGATGTGGCCAAGGATTGCCACTTGAGGCTCGGTAAGCTCAATACAGATTCCAAGAATTCGTTGGGTGGCCTTCGTGGCCGAGCGGAGCGTGCTGTTGGTGATAAAGTGTTGATCGAGGCGTCAGGTTTGGGTAGACCTGAAGCTCGACGAGCACTCAGCATTCCAGAATGGATCAACGGTCTCGAAAAGACGGTTACTGCCATCTTCGCAGCATGTCCAGGACCGATAATTCGACGCGTCAGTGGGCTAGCGGTTGCAGACAAGTCTACTCCGCTGACTGATCAGGAGTTTCAAGAATCAGCCTGCCATCTGAAGGCGCTATCTGTCGCGATCTTGGATACAGCCCTTCCCGAACAGCTGATGAGACATGTAAAATTCTTGAAATCCAAATACTTGGCCTCGTATGCCTTGTACCAGAGAGAACAGGATAGATGGACAAAATTGTGGGAACCTGTCCATGAAAGTTTACTGGACGCCCTGAGCATCCATAAAGACAGGGCCCGCGAACCCTTTCCCGATCAGCAGGAGCTGGACAAGCATCAGTCCCGCATGGATCTTGAGGCTGCAGTGACCTCCACGCAGGTGGACCCAATAGTACCAACAGCTGTCCCTGTCTCCCGACATGGATGAGACTGAATCTCCTGCCGAGGACGCGAAGGAGCATATAACTGCTGCTATGTTAAGGACATGGCATACGCGCCTCCGGAGGGCATGATGCTTACCTAAACATTTCCATTGTTGTTGAGTGGATTGGACAACGGCGAGGTCGCCACCGGTCCATGCCCACCCGAGACTCGGAGGCAAACACAACGTTCCCATCTCTCGGGCCCGGTTAACGTTGAAACCTTACCTCTCCGTGGTGCAAGCTATCAACTGCACCCGCGCAGGCCAAGAAGGTTTCGTTTCAATTCGGTAGTGTTAGAGATTCAATGGTATTTCAGTTCTAAAAATCCTATTACTATTGCTTACCAGTCGCCTCATGTTCCATTACTCGTACTAAGTGGCTCCGTACTACGACCTGCGCATTTGATTACATCCTGTGGAAACTTCTTCAATCTGCGCAGGTGGATTTAGTAACCGCAGTCCGCGCTTATGGGGACAGAGTTTTATCTTGCATTGCATGCTTCATTCCAAGGAACAAATTGAAGTCAAGGAGGACTCCTCCAAGCTGCACGCCATGCAGCGATCAAGAGGGAATGGCGGGCAGTACTCGCTACACTGAATGGCTGAATCGTAAACAATCCAATTTCACCACATCCGTACCTAAAATTTTGCTAAACATAAATCGTTCCGTGGTGACTAAGCGAAACGGACAAAATGAAGCGCGAAGCCCGAACGGATGTACGAAGGAACAACTTGAACAGGTACGAACCAACATCCACGATGATTCATAATATTATGCTTCGAGTCTCGACGTGGCTTGAAGACGCCATTGACGACGCGATGCCGTTCAGCCGACAGGGTCCACACCGGTCAAAGACGACGCGTATGAAAAATATTCTTGTTGACTCTCCTCCTCGCCTCTGCGGATCAATGCCACTCGATCATGGACACGATAGAACGGATATTGTCTCGACCCGTGGCCAAACCGTACCGGTCCAAAAAGCTCGATCCGACGGTCGAGCCATACCTGAATGAAAATGGCCATGTCGACTTCTTCCCGGGGGATCTGGAAAACCCCAAGGAATGGTCGACGGTGCGGCGAGGATATTGTACGGTGATTGCAGTTCTGCTGGTGGTCAACGCGACGTTTGCATCTTCCAGTCCTTCGGGAGCGCTGGTAGGCATCGCCAGACATTTCGACGTCTCCGAAGAGGCCGCCGGGTTGGTCATTACCTTGTTCCTGTTGGGTTACTGTGCGGGACCTCTGATCTTTGCACCGTTGTCTGAATTCTACGGCCGACGATGGGTGTTTTACACCACATTCACTGCCTACGTAGCGTTCAATTTCCTCTGCGCGTTTGCGCCCAACTTTGCCTCGTTGCTCATCGGTCGCCTTCTGACGGGCACTTTTGCCAGCGCTCCTCTGACTAACGCTCCTGGAGTGTTGGCCGACCTTTGGGGACCAGTGGAAAGAGGAAATGCCATGGCGGTCTTCAGCATGATGACCTTCGTGGGTCCGGCACTGGGTCCGGTGGTTTCTGGATTTCTGGAGTTGACAAAGGACTGGAGATGGACATTCTACGTTCTGTTGTGGTTGGGGGGCGCCACGGAAGTCTTGATGTTGACCATCCCGGAGACATTTCCACACGCAGTTCTAACCAACAAAGCACGACGACTACGGGCGACTGGAGCCCCTGGCTGTCAGAACCTGATGTCTCCAGCCGAAGCGCAGGGACGCAACCTGCAGGACCTGTTCAAAGTGGCCTTGGTCCGACCTTGGCAGATCTTGTTCGATCCGATTTCGCTGTTGGTGGCCATCTACGTCTCGATCGTTTACCTTTTGCTCTACATGCTCTTCACCATTTATCCCATTGTGTTCCAGCAGAAACGAGGATGGAATTCCGGGGTTGGCGAACTGCCGTTGATCGGGACGGCAATCGGCGCATGCATCGGCGGCGGCATCATATTCTATGTTTCTTCACGCGACAAAAAGAAAATCCTGGCCGGCGAGCCTCGTCGACCGGAGGATCGGTTGCCTGTGACCATGCTGGGAGGTGTTCTTTTCGCCGTCACCATGTTCTGGTTCGCATGGACTGCAGAGTACGACAGCATTCACTGGTTTGTGCCAACCCTTGCGGGCACTTTTCTGGCCACTTCGATCCTTTTGATCTTTGTCGGCTTCCTCAACTACCTCACCGACACGTATCTGATGATGACTGCGAGCGCCATGGCGGCAAATACCATTGTTCGATCGGCCTGCGGGGCAGCCGCGCCATTGTTCACACAGTACATGTTCAACGCGTTGGGTGTTGGTGGAGGAGGCTCGCTAGTTGGAGGAGTTGCAGTGCTGCTGGTTCCGATCCCGTTCGTCTTCTACAAGTACGGTGAAGGCATTCGAAAGAGAAGCAAATTCGCACCGACGCCAAGTCCTAGCGACGAGGAAAAGCAGGAGCCTGAACATCGTGGGACTGTTCCAGTTGAGACCGAGTCAAGTAGTTTGTCAGTCTCAAATAGCGGCTGACGGGTATCAATCCAAGATCAATTACAATCCAGTCCACCAAGTCCGATTGTTCGTCTCTGCATCCGTATCATAAACCAGCAAACTGCTCGAATTGCTGGGTCGATCAGGCCAGACATTGCGCAGTCCACTCCACACCTCAACTGGTCCCGAATAAGTCACATTAACACCTGTCTCTGCGTACAGACCAAACCCAGAACTGTCGAGCCGACTGGGATAAATCCTGCTTGTCAGAGCGAACCGATCATTGACAAAAATCTCCACCAACGATCCGTCAACAAACACATTGAATCGCACACTCTCCAGACGACCAGACACGTTGTACGGTTCAAAGAAGCCGAGATGGGTGGTGTTGGCAAACTCTTTGATTGTGGAAGAATAAGTCCGGTTGCAAGCAATGGTCGATGTGGCAGGGTCATAGTAGATGGAAGTGAATTCTTCAAAGTCGGGTGATACACCAATAATAAGACCTGTCCGACCAGTGGTGGAAGCGATGGTCACAGACACCTCATAGGCTCTGCTCATTGCTTTCACGAGAATATTGGATCCAGATCCGCCGCCTTTTCCTTCAAGGCCATCCACAGAAAAGTTGACCGCATGCGATCCGTTTCGCAATCCTCGAATCACATCCGGAGCAGGTCGAGCGCCGAGTGTCCGCGCATTATAGGTACCGTTTGCTTGCCGCGTGTAAACCGAGCTCGAATTCCGCTTTACAGGAGTCACATCGGACGTCTGCAAAACAAACAGCTCTCGAGGTATTGACAACGCTCCTTGATAACCCTGTTGAACAATGCCAAAGTTGTTCATATCTTCTTGCGCCCACCCGATCTGAATGCGACGATTGTTCTTGGTATCATTGAACGAGGTAATCTGCACAAGTCAGCGAAAATCATACCCACTCATACTTTTACTCACGGCATAAAGCAATCCCCAATCCACGACACCCATGGAGATCGGTTCAAAAGCGACGCTTCCATTGTCTCGTGCAGACACATTACCTTCATTCCAAACCACCCAATTCTGTGGATGGTAGCTGGTACTTCCACCTTGGGCTGCCGAACTAAAAAACCAGTATCCGTCAAGTTGGAAGAAATTCGGCACTTCAAAATTCCACGCCCAAGTTCCTGTTTCATACGTGGACCCCAACGACGTGTTCCCTCGAGGTTCCCAAAGAGCTCCGAGATAAGTCCAAATGGTCAAATTCGAAGCGGGTGCAGAGTAAAGAGGGATTCGGGGTCCGACGTCGCCAATTCCAGAACCAAACACGACATAATAGTGCGGTTCGGAATGGTCCAACAACGAGTCAAGCTCCGGCGAGGCGTGGAAGAATGGATCTCGAAATCCGGTGATGTTCCAGCCAGCCGGTGGACCGTTAATGACCGGATTCCCAGCGTATTCAGCCCAAGTCATACCACCATCGGTCGAGTAAGCCAAACTTTGACTTTCGGCACCTTCCGGATACGGTTGATCCCAACTGAGAGGACCGCGGGATACCGAAGTATAAAACGCCAGGAGGGTACCATCAACTTCGCCACTGAAATTCACTGGTTGAGCGGTACCCGAGAAGATACCCAAAAAATTGTACATGTGAGGATCATGTTTGGTGCTGGTCAAATTTGACGTGCCGATTGATTGAGCTTGAGACTCCAGCCATGCCAGTGTTCGACCGGGTCCAGAATGAGCGACATCGGTCCAGGTGATCATGTCTTCAGAAGTGGCGTGTCCCCAGGAGATATTTCCCCATTGTACATGGTTGGGATGCCACTGATAATGCATATGATAAAGATTGCCGACAGGATCGTACAACGGTCCACATGGATCCTAGTCCACAGTAAGCCTCACATCAATCAGCGGCGACAGACGCACATTCATCCATCCAGCAGGAGCCGAAAAGTGAGAGTAAGGGCGCCATCGCTCAAACAGACTATTGTTGGCCATGGACTGGATCGTATCCGAAGTCAGCATCTGACTGGAAGACCCAGTAAGGGCCAGCAGCAACAAAGCGAACATCATGTTGATTGATAGACACTACAAGCAGGAGGAATCAAGCGACTAAATAAGGTAATCAGTATTCGGGCCGATTCAATGTAACATGAATGATGTTGCAGATCTACCTGATGCGGGGACAAACCGCCCCATCGATAATAGATTCTCAGACACTAGTGAGTGTAGACGAAGAACGGATTCTCCCGGTCGGTCTTGTCGGCATAAGCCAATTGTTGTCGCAAAACCTCCTTCTCATCTTCCGTCATGGCCGCAAGTTTCTCGCGGTTCTTTTTGTTGAGACGATCATTTCGCCATCTCAGAGCCAGACAGACAAAAACTTGAGCAGATAAAGTAGACATGATGGCTGCTTTTCCGCTGATATAACCCGGAGCCTCTGCGGATCGAAAGCTTTCAGTTCCGGCAATGTTTCCGGCGCAGTAGAGCATTAGAGTCAATGCGTTGACCGTGACCTTCTTGGTATGACCGCCGAGATTGCTAGCGTTCCAAACCAGAAGAAGCATGAAAGCCTGCACCATGTCAGAGACGAAAGTAGCAGGGAAAACAATCTTACCGCGGTAAATGAGTTTGACATGTATAATGCAAACAACAGAGCTCCTTTGCTCTTGGGAACACCACCGGGATCAAGTCCAATCATCATGGCGAAAGCGACGATTGTCGGAAGAATACTGATGATCATGACCAAGCTTCGATCATTCCATCGGTCACTGAGATATCCTGTGATAATAATTGAAACAGCGCCGACAACTCCGCCGGGGATGTTGAGGATCAGCTGTGAATGGTTAGCAGATTCATAACAGATTGCGAACAACTCACAGCTTGTTGCGGAGTATAACCAAATGTGGTCAACAAAATACTAGCAAAGTTTGGAATGGCGGTTCCAACGCTCAGCATTACGACACTAACGGCCACAAGCCACACGCCAGGGTCCTTGAAGACCAATCGAAGGTGATCCGTTTTGATTTTGGCGTTTTGGGTCCCTGATTGATTGTCCTTGACCCGGAGTAGAGTTGCCACTTTCTCGGCATCCGTAAATTTTCGAGCCTTGACGGGAGAATCGGGAAGATAAAGAAAAACAAAAAAGCCAGCAACGACGGTGACCAGACCGATGGTCAGTAAAAAGATGCGCCAGCTGGCAAAATTGGAGTTTTTCGAAAATGAGATACCATAGGATACGAGACCGGCAAAGATGGAGGTGAGACTCCGCTGGTCAGTATAGCCAAGATAAAACCGGTGACAACATACCTGTTACAAACGTAGACGTAAGAGATCCTCCGGCCTTGTTCCGACTTCTTGTACCACATTGCGACGACCAGGACCAAAGTGGGCGTGACACAACTCTCGAACACTCCAAGGATACCCCGACAAATCATCAAGCCAGTGTAATTTCGACAGGCAGCATGAGCAGCAAGAACCGCGCCCCAGAGCATGATGTTGGCACCAAGATACTTGCCGAGTCGTGAGATGTGCTGGGATAGATACTGCGTTGGAAACTCCGCGGCCAGATAACCGATGTAGAAAATCATTGCAACATTGGAATATTCTTGACCTTTCAAATGGGTATCCTCGCGCAAACCCATAACGGCAGTATACCCAATGGTGGTCTTGTCCAAAAACTGAAGAAAGTATGTCACTATCATACATGGTAAAATAGCCCAGTCGATCTTTCGAAGCAACTGTTTGCGCTTCTTGTCGTCGGCCAGAATATCGATGGCTTCCTGTGTAACAGCGTCGGCATCAGGATGTCCTTTGAGAAATTCAAATGCCTCGTCTGCATCCTGGGGATCGATGTTGAGAGATGCCAAGGCATTCTCAAGATGCACAACGGTTCCCTGGGCTTGCTTTTCGGGGTCGAGTTTCGGATCGATGATTTCCACGGCCATCTTTGAAGATTTGTGACTGTCCACTGTCGACGTACTTCACGAGAAGCACTGTTCTTTTATGCCGGAGCCAAGACTGCTGAGGAGTGAACTGGCTGACCAAAGGGGCATAACAGACACGGCAAGTTCTCCTGTGACAACTGCCGTGATCGTCAGCAGCCCATCGTGCCACATATGGAACCGTCCTTATCTCTGGTCCCCATTCTTCGTATACAGATGGATACATCCGAAATGCGGGGAGTTGGGGTTGGTTTGTGGGGATTGAAGATCGAAATGGCAAAGACTTGTCTGTCAGTGGTCGAAGGCAGGACGGCTGGCCTTGATCAATCTGTTAGTGTGCCGCTACAAGGGTGACCTCAATAGTTTGCCGACAAGAGTTCATCAACCCCAGCGGCGAGCCTTCCGGATCTCAATCCTGAACGAGCATTGACCGCGGACTGAGCGAGCACGGTGGACAGGTCTCCAGATTCGACGCTCGAGCAGGAGTAGCATCCTCGACAACAGCCAGCCTTCACATCGACCACGTCCAAAACCTACCGCAAGACAAGCATCCTCATGCTTCATGCAAGGTTGTTGCAATTTGTAGGGCGAGACATGACCTGCCATTGACCCGTAGACCCGCGGACTCGGCGTTCAATGCGTCAACATGCGCAAGGACTCAACTGCAATCTGTCCCTGAAGCCCATAGAGCGTGTAGTCCGTAGCATCTCCATCTGCTCGAGCTATAGCCCTGCAGGGACAGTCTTGGATGTACCAACGCGTTCACCCCACGTCTCAACTTTTTGATATGTGTGTGGCATGTTGTCCTCATTGCAACCGCACCATTCCGACTTCATTCTTTCGGCAGTTGACCTGAGGGTCTCGAAACGCAAGCGACGAGGACGCGACGAGAGCGTAGATTGCCGGAGGCGTAGGTCGAGGGCGATAGTGCCCTCGGCAAAGATGGTTGGTCTATCGTGGGGCCGGGGAAGAGCTTCATCTTCGCGGAAGATCCCTCGCCTTGAGTGGGAGGGCGAGGTGGACAAGTCGGAAGCCGAGAAAAGCCATGCCAGCTATCTCATCTGAACCATGGCAGTGACAGGGAGAGCCTCAAGTGCCAGCGTTGAGCAAAGTATCCCTTGAAGTCGAGAGCAGAAGTCAAGTGGTTGGAGCATTTCAAACTGCGCGGAGGATCATTGGCTCCAAGTCCGAGTTACTGTGCATTTCTCCCATCGAAACGCAGTCCTTTGGGATACCAGTCTTGGTGAACAGAAACAACACTCGCGTGTTCATACACTATCATAAGTGTTGCAAATCCGGTGGTCTATGGTATGATGCAAGACGCGGTCGAGTTCGTAGGTACAGGACAAACATCGCATATCATCAATGCAACTAAGTCGTCGATATCACACCGACATCTCGCTTATGCGCGTGAAGCACCTCCGTTTCCCTACTGTTCCCTTTTCATTGTTTTGAGCGATCCTTCTTGTTCTGTACCATCTTGAGCTTCATCAACCGCAAATGGCGCAGCCTTCAGATATGGGCCAGTCCGATGCAGCCTATGTTCTCGTGCCGCAGCCTCCAAACTCAATGCAGGACGACCTTCCGGAGGTCTTCCGGTTGCCATTGTGCAACGGTCAAGACCTTTACGAAGTCTCGGTCGACGAATTACAACATTTGTTCACTTCCGGTGCTCTAACCTCGGAGGATTATGTCCAATTCTGCCTGGATCACGTCCAAAAGGTGAACCGGTCCGTGGTGCCATCGTTCGTCGAACTGAACCATCAAGCAGACCAATCCTTATCTTGAATGCGTGATCGAGACCAATCCAGAAGCTCTCAAACATGCAAGGACGCTGGATGGAGAGAGGAAAGACGGAAAAATTAGGGGGCCGCTGCATGGAATTCCAGTGTTCGTCAAGGATGTACGTCCTGCGCCAAAAAAACGTCAACAACAAACTGATGATCATACTACAAGAACATGGCCACGGCGGACAGAATGCAGACAACTGCTGGATCATGGGCATTGCTTGGGTGTATCGTGCCGAAAGACGCACATATCGTCAGTCTACTCCGCAAGGCCGGAGCAGTCATCCTAGGCAAGACGAACCTGGATGAATGGGCCGGAATGAGAGGTACATATTACTCTCTGGGATACTCAGCCCGAGGCGGGCAGTGCCGCAATCCATACTTGTTGAATCGTTCTGCAAGTGAGTGTACTCCTTGTCATGATGATGTTCCCGTTAACAACAGCAGACGGTAGCAGTTCTGGCAGCGCGGTTGCAGTTTCAGCAAACATAGTTCCACTCGCATTTGGAACCGAAACAGATTGCAGCGTCATCAGCCCGGGTATGGTAAACGGCGTCGTCGCAATCAAACCAACGGTCGGCCTTACTTCACGTGGAGGCATCATTCCAATTTCCGAGACTCAAGATTCCATCGGTTCGTACGGACGATGTGTGGCGGATGCGGCCGTGGCTTTGGATGCCATTGCTGGGCCAGATTCTGATGACAAGTACTCCACACAACCCGACCGTCGACAACCCAAGAGCTACTGCGACTTTCTCACCGACCGACACGCTCTGAAAGGGGCAAGATTTGGACTGCCGATCAAGCGCTTTTGGGAAGTTGCTCCATACCCACAACGCGCTGTTGCGGAGAAAGTCCTGCAGTTGATCAAGGAGGCGGGAGCCGACATAATTCCTGTGGACATGCCGTGTGCGGAAGAGAGATTGGACAAAGACGGAGTTTGGGATTGGTGAGTACACCTGTCGCCGCGTTGGAACTCTTCTGACATGCTGCAGGGAACGTTACGGAGACGACCATCCAGAGATCTCAGAAATAACAGTGAGCAAAGTGCAAACATACTACCTCATGAACGAGTACCTGGCCAAATTGAAGAACACCCCGATCCGAACTCTTGAGGATGTTGTGCAATTCAACGACGACAACAGAGGATCTGAAGGTGGCCATGCTGGCGATCTCCCAGCGTTCCCCGACGGACAACGACTATTCCGCAAATGTGTCGAAACCAAAGGCATCAAAGATGAGACATACTTCGCCGCTTTGAAGCACATCCAATCACAATGTCGAGAGAACGGCATTGACGCTGCCTTGCGCGGGCCATCCAGTGACGGAACAGAAGATGGCCAACCTCTTGATGCCTTGCTGTTTTGCGACGTCAAAGCTGGAGGCATACAAATTGCTGCTCAGGCTGGATATCCCGTCATGACCATGCCTATCGGTTTGGACCCAGATGGCATGCCATTACCTCTGACACTGCAGCATACGGCGTGGCAGGAGGACAAGCTGGTAAAGTGGGCGAGTGCAATTGAGGATTTGTTGAAGGCGCACAACGAACAGCAATCCACTCCGGTCTCTTCTCGCAGTGCCCGTCTAGGCAGAATTCCTCCGACCTACAAGAACCATTTGAGGAAGAACATACCGGTGGATCAGGACTATCAATGGCCAGGACGGCATCGTGAACAGGCTTGATCTTGCCATATGAGATTAAAACCAGTCTCATATCATTCGTAAACAACTCGAGAATTCTCTTATTACCGTTTAATCCATTTCAAAGATATTCTCTCCGCGTCCGTCATTTTCAAGGTAACCTCAATCTTTGCATTTTTCACCACATCAAGCACCCTTATTCTGGCATCCTCATCCGTCTCGCCCTCATGTTTGACCACTTCGACTCTGGTGCCATCGGCAAACAACCCAAAAATGACCCGGGTGAACTCGACTTGTGAAAACTTCTTGCCAGGGCATACTCGCGGGCCAAGATTCCAAGGCACAAAAACTCCCGGGACTGGTTGCAACATGGTACTGGTTTCTCCGTCCTTGCCAGTCAGCACGAACCATCGGTCTGGGCGAAAAGCAAGAGGATCGGGACCCCAATAGGAGGGATGAGTGTGTAACGCAGCGAAATTGATCATGATGGTCGTCTTGGGCGGAATAACATGTTGTTGTTCGCCGATACGCAGCGTTTGTGCGGCATCGCCAGTGTATCTGGGCATCATGACCACCGGTCCATAAAGTCGAAGGGTTTCATACTGGTTCAGAGTCAGCAGATACAACCTTGATTCTTACCCTACTCACCATAAGCGCCAGACACCTCTGCAGTTGAGGGAAAGTATGCTCGTAGTAATAGAGTCCACTCGACTCCGCCTTCCGAACTTGATCGATCTCCTCGGCAATCCACGTCTGCCATTCCGGATACACCGCCAACAGTGTGATGGCGAAATGCAGTGCGCCTGCCGTGGTATCATGCCCTGCAAGATTGTAGATGAAAAGATTGCCGTAGACTTCGTCCTCCGAGAGTCCCACAGTCGTGGCAGTCTCCTTGTCTCCTCCAGCCGCCTGTTTGGACTGTTCTTGCGCTCTGACCAACTCGCTCATGAGGTTATGGCGTGAGAAATCGCCCTGCTCAATCGCCGTCCTCTCCCGCGTAATCAGCTCGGACATATAGCCCTTGAACTCGTCGTAAGCAACGGCGACCTTGCGCATGTTCCCGAACCAAATCCAATTGGGCACCCCAACTTTCTTGAGCAAACCCAAAACGACAAGGGGGACGATGTTGGCCAGCAACACCCGCAAGCTTTCCCGATAGCCCAGGTACTCCTCGGCCGAGAGGCTGTGGTCAGGCGGGAGTCTGGTGTCGACAAAACTGCTGTGTACTCCAAATCCGGCACCGCAAAGCACGTTCAGAGCAACGGCATGGACATCAGACTGAGTAGATGTGACTTCAGCTTTGCTTCTCCAAATAGCCAACATCTGATCGGCTTGCTCGCCAGCCTCGCGCCAAACCAAAGCGCTGTTCTGTTCGTTGAAAGGCGGAACCGTGATTTTGCGGTGACGATCCCAGACTTTGCCATTAACAGTGTCCAGGTTCGGTCCATAAATGTCCAACATCCCATACATGGCCGGATTCTTGATGAAATCATTGCGACGGCGCGTCACGTCGTCCGCGGCAGCCGGGTTGGCAAGAATGACTTCGTTTTCGCCCGGCGAGACAATGATGAAGGCCTCGCCATATTTTGCGTGGACGGTGAACCTCTCCTTGAAAGTCCAGCCGACTTCGGCCCTACCTGCCCACTCGCCGAGTCCAAACGGTAAGCGAAGGAGGATCGGGCCGAGCACATCTTTGGAAAACATCCATAGCGGATTGGCCGGGTTCACTGGACATATCAGAATAGGCAGTCCTATCTTTTTGGCTTCGATGTAGTTATTGGCAAAGTGAATGAGCGACCATGACAGATACGCAAACAGCAGAGAAAAGACAGCAAGGACAAACATGGTGCCATCTACATATATAAAGGCGCCCAGATCATGTCAAGGACGGTGGAACGTTTGCTACAATTGACATTGAATATAATATTCAATCGTTCCTCGATCGGGATTTCACCGTTTCCGCCAATCATATTACACAGATTTCATCCTGTACGACTACAACACGACTACGACGATATCTGGATAGATGGTGCAGAAATGGTCTGATAGAATACACTTTGACACGGATCTCATACTGCAACCTACTCAAATCGTATCCTCGTGTCTATCATTCCTGTACACACCTATTCATGGATCTTGCACTTTGATACCAGTGAGTCCCTCCAGCTGCTTCAACAAATGGTCTTGAACTTTTATATCTTCCGCCTCTTTCTTCGGAAATCGGACCTTGGATTGATACCAGTATTTGCCCGATATTCCCTTGGCGGGACCCTCACCTTCGGCAAGCAGGACGTATGTATCCACGGCAGCATTAAGATCCCCCGAGGCTGATCTGCCCCCCATCTTCGTTGGCACCCAACCGGGATCCAAGGAATTGCTCTGCTCGCTAGGCCATCTTCTTGCAAAAGCAGAGGCAAGCAGGATATTGTGCAATTTGGTGTCAGCATACGCCTGAAAGTCTTGAAACCCTTGTTCACCGCGTTCAGTCCATGTAAAGTCCTTCAACGTAGCATCGCCACCGCTGTGAAGCCCCGAGGACACAAAGACAAGACGTTTCGGCTTCGGTTGGAGCAGGCATGTCAGAACATAGGGGGCAATGGTATTGACTGCGACAATGCTGGGCCAGCCTTCCTTCGTCTTGCGGTACGGACCAGTGTACACGCCTGCGTTGTGAATGACCGCATCGAAGGGTCCTAGGCGGTTTGCATCCTCCGCGAGCTTCTTCGTGTGGGACAAATCAGAAAGGTCTGCAACCAGGCAGGTCTCAGCGCCAGGACACGCGGTTCGGGCGTCTTGTGCTCGCTGGTCGTTTCTCGCGTGTAACACGACCGAGTGGCCGCGCTGGACCAAGGCACGAGCTGCCAACGATCCGAGGCCGTCGGATGAACCTGTGATCAGTATACGAGCCATGAAAGATACCAGCAGAGGCTAAAGAGGCGAGAGGAACTGTCAATTGCTGTCCCGCAGGGTTGTCATCATCCGAGTCTTACTTTACAACGCAGGCAAAGACGATATCACTCACTTCACCGTAGTTCCTACAGTCGAGCATTGACCGGACTACGCAGCAGTTGAGCAGTTCAAGTTTCACGAATGGATCAACAGCAACATCAACATTTGCTCTTCAAGCACTGTATTTTCTGGCCAGCAAGAATTGAGAGTCCCGAGCAGTTCCGTGGACTTCTCCTTTCTTGTGACGAGGTAGCTGGTGAAACAGACTATATCCCATTTGTCTGACTCCGCCGACGCGTCGTCCCGCGGCCACAGCCTTGATCCGGCTTCTACGCCCGCACGCGGTAGAATATGCCAGTACGGAACGACGGGTTAGCGGCCCTTCTCTATCTCCCTGGCTCGTCCGAAAGCTTCCTTCATGGTTTCAAAACGTTTCGATTTCTTCCTTGCGATACACAACGACCGCAATGAGCTTCCCTAATGCGGCACTCGCCGGGAAAGTTTTCTATAGGATGTTGCATCGAACGTCAAATGCTCGCGCTAAACGGATGACGTGCAGGACGCATGGAAAAGGTCATACAAAAAGTGGGATTTCGTGGAATGACATCTGAGCTCTCTCGCGCGTTCTAGACTACCTAGGTACTATTGTGGTGCCCGAGGGTCTCTGTCTTTGACAACGCGACAAAACAATGGGACCACCACCTGTTCCATGCTTTGCCTTGCAGCTGGCAGCTACCTAGCCAGGGGTTGGGTGTCTTTTTTGGCTGAGCTTGCTGTCCGTTGGCTTTCCGATCTCGATTCGATTCCATTGGAATGGCCGCATCCGGCTGGTTCAGGCACTTGTGCAGAGCAGACGGTTCCGTCGGCATTCAGTTTTGCCCAGGCCAGGGTGAGAGACACGAGTGCCTCTTCGCTCACTACTGCATGTCGGGACCCAGGGTATCGGAATTAAGATACCCCTACCTGCAGTGCCGGCACGCGGCTATCGGAAGGACCAGTCCACGCCCGTTAGCTAACAAACCTAGGGACAGACATCCTGCAAGCTTCCATTCCTGGTCATTGTTCCTGATCCGACTGGCTGTGCTCAGTTGGCCTTGTGTGCTATCACACAGCTCGTGGAACAGAGCAGTCTCCGGAGTCGAGAAGTCCTTTCCATGAGACGACTTTCTACACCTACAATGATTAGCTGATGTTGCCAGAATGTTAACCGGGCCAGCAATCAATCAGACATTATGTGGCCGAAATAGCGCCCTCGACTCCGTGTCGACGAGTGGTCCGTCCAGAGGAACTTGACTACAGTTTGAAAGTCAAATCATGCCCAGCTACACACACCTCTAAGTTCGGAACGGCTACCGCCGTTTCTGCAGGCAATTCGGCAAGCTTCAGGACGAAGATAGATGAGGTGGACATACTAGCTACTATTTCTGCTATTCGCCGCAACTGCGCATCCGTGTATCGGGCTTACGGGCATATACCTAGGAGCCTGCCGAGACCGAATGCCAGCCTGGACTCGACCAGGACAGAAGCTGCCCCATCCACACTCTGTCCAGACCATGCTGTGAGACCGGATCCGCAGGATCAAAGCTGAACTGTGACTTCTAGGTGCAGTAGTCTTCATGGCCCATGCCATTGTGTCTTGGGGCCGGATGGCGTAGCTTGAGACCTGCGGATGCTGCCAACAGAAAGAAGAGTGTTGGGCATCTCATCAGCACATTCCGCTGTTACACTCCCATCTATCATCGGTACTAGGAGGCGTACTGGAACTGACGCTTCACTTGTTCAAACAAAGCATGCAAGACGGAAAAAACTAGGAGAGAGGGTTGTATCCAGGAGAGAATACATTCTCCTAGTCCTGATCGTAGTTGTAGACGACTTGAATGAGAAGAATCATCTCTTAAGCTCATATATTGTAGAATTTCAGATATAGTCATGAATTTTCATTCATCTCATGATTTACATAACTCCAGACATCATCGCATCTGAAACACCTTCCATCTATCCATTCATCCGCTCAACCATTTTCGTCCTGTTCATCCGTAACATAGGTATCAACCCACTTGGTCATTGATCATAACGTTAAAATATCAAAACTTCATCACATAGTTCCACATCATATGCATCATAAGCATAAAAACCATTTGGTCATGTCAATTCTTTCATGACATCAACTTCTCAAACCCACAGCTGAACGCTGGGCTATCAGGAACACTAATGTTCAAGGTTGGGGCCTCTTCACGCTTGGCGGCAAAGCTGGCAACACGGTCTGACTGAAGCCACACTGTGACCTGACGGACAGAAGCCACCGAAGACACCGACGACATATTCTTCTTATGTGTCATGGCAGGTCGGGGTGCATTATCCAGAGACACAAACTTGTTTAAACCAAGTGAAGCACCCGCCGACTCGGTCTTGCTGTGTTTCAACGTGGGTCTCTGAGGCCTGGTGCAGGACATCGAAGCCAGCTTTTCGGGCAACGGAAGACATGCCTCGGTGGGCAGGGCGGGGAGAGGGACGTTGGGAGGGGGTCCGCAAGGAGGAAGGGATCGATGAGCCAAAGAAGGCATGCTCTTTCGGCCTCTGACATGTCGTTGCTTGCGAGGCGGGTTGGCCAACTGAAGGACCGGGGACGAAACTGCAGGATGAGTTTCAATCGTGGTCGTCGTGATGGTCGACAGACAGCCATTGGTAGATGGCCTTCTAGGAGCATCAGGGTGTGCTCCAAAACAGGTCTGCAGCATCGCATCGGTCACTGCAGGCGACCTTTGTGGCAAACTGATTTGCTTACTGCCGGCTTCAGCATGTTTCGTGTCGATGGACAAAGCCTTTCCTAATCTCCTAGATGCATGTTGACTGCCTCGGGATGAAGGCCTTGACTTCGATATAGACTCCTTCTCCTCCCCAACCGCCTCGAGACCAGGTCCAGTGCCGCACATGCTTTCCAAGGCAGAACCAGGTGTGGTGACAGGAGGCGAGGGCAAACCAGTGTTTATAAGTTGGGGTTGATCATGAGAGGGCGTCTTGGGGAACAAGCTGTATGAAGGTGTCCTCCGTTGAACGCCATCTGGTGAGTCGCTCGCATAAGACGAGCTTCGACTCCGAAGACTGCCCGGTCTCGAAGTCGGGGTCATCGGCTGCACAGGTAAGCCTTGTAACTCGCAACGGTAACGAGCAGAGATCTTTCTGATATGCCCGGGTTCAGGGAGAGGAGCGATGGTCGAGATCGGCCTCGACTTGGATTCCCACGAAACAGCTGCCTGATGGTCGGCATCACTCGTGGGTACAAGAAGATCATGACTGATCGAGTCAGATGGCGGAGGACGTCTTTTCGGTGTTGCCATCATCATTGACAGTTCACCCGCATCCTCCTGAGTAGGTGTAGAAACCCGTGATTGAGCATCCTTGGTGGTGGGTGATTCATAGGACTCCATGCTAGAAAAAGACTCGATGACATTGGACATCGACGTGGTAGAGCCGTTAAAACTGGTATGGGCGGTAGATACCGAACGGTCATCTGAAAAAGATGGCTCGCGGATCTGATCCAGGTCCGTCAAAGTATTGATGGACGAATCCGTGGTCGACCTCGAGATCTTCCGCGACGAGATTCTCTGTGGCATCGGCGGTAAGAGGACAGGTGAGGCTGGCTCGGTGTCGGTCACTTTGGTTATGGTGGAGGAAGACCGAGAGAAGATGGGCAGACTCCGTCGAGTCCTGAGTGGACGGTGAGGTTCAACTTCTTGGTCCTCCTCACCAGGACCTCTCGAGTCAGGTCGGTACTGCAAGCCACCCATGAGTTCGATCTCCTTGCGAACAGCCGTCAACCACAACCCCAAAGTGATGGCATCATCAAACACCAGAAGAAGGTCCTTGACGAGGTTTTTGTTCTCCTGGTTTTTGAACGAGAACTTGGACCAGCTATGCTTGGAATTGTGCGATGGCAGCTGGGTTGGGCCTCGGTCTTGCGAGACTCTCAAAACCCAGTGCTTGCCACGGACATCATCACAGGCAAAGGCCACCGAGTCAGAACCAAGCTCCAATATTTTCTCTGGAAGACGATCATTGAACCCGTCGGCACTATACTGTAGAATATGGCCAGAGCGTGTCAAGATAAACAACTTCTGGGTGAGTGAGCAAACACTAGTGCCTGAGCAGTTTCGTCGATGCTTCAAGGCTGTGTCCACGGTAGGAGAGGCTTGATTATCCATACTTGACCGTGGAGAGTCGCCAGAAATACTATTCCTCCTTTGGTGGCCCCGGAGGAGCACAGTTGTCAAGGTGGAAGGAATATCCAAGATGGCATGCATCTTGGCCTGTGTGTACGCTTGAACCAGCGGAGGAGGATCCCAGGAAGTCATGTTCCGAGACCGTTGAGGTTTTACACTCTGCTGTGAATCCCGTTGTCGATTTGACCAGGTGGTGCTTCGACCGCGTTTGGCCACGTTGAGCGTAGACGGAGGGCATGGCCGTGACTCGACCTGTCGGTCCGAAACAACTCTGGTGGTAGATTGCGGAACAGTCCTCTCTGATTTGGACCGGGTGAAAAAGGCCTTGAATCGAGCCTTTGCACTGCGGTCTGAAGCGAACCATCCTGATTGCGATTGTTCTTCAAGTAAAGGCGAAGGTAATCCGGCCATAGCGGAATATGGGGACTGTACGGTGGGAGGGAGGGAGGGGGTCCGGCCGATGAACGAGCTTGTCTGATATAACAATTACTGGGAGATAGACATCCTCTCGTGCTTGAACAAAACAGGCTGTGCCGGGGCTTGGCTGAACAAGAGGAACCAGTATGGTCGACTCAAGCACTGGGCAGCAACCCTGACGATCTTTGTTTGTTTTGAAAATGACTGCTGGGACGGTTGGATGGTATTGACAGATGATAGATCCGAGCTTTTTCCCCAGTCTGATAACGCCCAAATTCTGCTGGAACAATTCTCTCCAATGCTGATATGTTTTCTTAAAAGCGATACAGTTTGAGATAAACGAAATCCGTGAGATCTCACCGAGATCTAAACAAGGAGGACATGGTACATTCTTAAGGACCAACAGGGGAGGCAACAAACCTACCTCTTGCAGATGGCATGAGCGTCCAAAGGGATGCACGGACTGGACCAAGGAGGGTATGTGGCCGAAAAGGCACCAAATCAGAGCCTCGAGCGCTCTGGGCTAGACATGGCACCTGTGGCAGGGATGGCGTGAGAAGTGACAGCAAGAGAGATTAAGACAAAACCATCACGTATGTCCTCATCTTGACAAGAAGTGACAGTTGGATATGAATGCAGCTGTCCCAGGACGGCATCCATACGAACCACACAAAGTGCACAAGTGCCTTCCGCTTGAATAGACAACACAGCGGCAGATGTGAGATACCTGGCAAGGTGATATCAAGCTTGAACCCGGTTGGTCGACCACAGCACGGGGAGTGGCGAGCAGAACAGCACGGTCGACCGTCGGCAGTAGGATGAACAAGAGGCCAGCAGGCAACACAGTGGTGGCCGAAAAAGGTGGGAGGCCAAGGTCAAGACTCCCAATCAGTCCAGCCAGACGGACGGGAAGGGAACAAACACTGGAGACACGGACCCAAAACAGACCAAGTCGAGCTGGTATAGTGTTTGTGGCGAAGCCGCGGAAGCAGTTGTTGACAGCTTGACCTTGCACCAGCAACGACAGAGGCCCTTCCTAAGCTCTTCTCCACCAGACAAGCGAGGAACGCTGACAGGGTTCGGAAGACAGACGCGCTCAGGGTACCAGGTACCACAGTACAGTTTGGGCCCTGAAATCCTACCGCGAGATCGAGAGATCGATGGAATCTGCGATGCGGCGGGGCAGTCTTTGCATTCCTCGAGAGGGACGTCAAAAGAGGTAGCGTTGGAGCTCGGCGAGGGCGGAGGGCCCTGAGCGCGTCTTGAGAGCTGTCAACTCACGTAAACGGCCGACTCGAGGAAAACACGGGTGGGAGCTGGAGAAGACAGTAGCAGCAACTGATTCGAACGGGTTGAGCAATTTGATACAGCTGAAAGAATGTCTGGTATACAAGCAAGGTGGATGCAATCGATCTCTGCAGCCTGAGTGAGCTGCCTGCGCCCTTGACACACCTCTACTGCTATCTTCAGCTCGACGCTCTCCCTTCTCGTCCCAACCATCTCATTCCTTGATCCGAAAAAAGTTTCTTTCTCTTCGGATCTCATCCAAAGGGATAGCGTGTCTCTACGCCCCATACGTCAAACTCGCTGCCAGGTGGTTCCCCGTCCATCTGTTCTTCTTTTCCGTGACCCTTTCCCCAGTTTTCGCTCGACGGGCTCTACTGTCACTTGGGTTCCAACGTATCAACAGCTTTGCAAAGCGCGTCCTGCTCTTGCCCCTCCATCTGTGCCCCGCCTCGAGTAACGTCTTATACCCGTCAAGCCGCTCTACGTGCATGCTGTCTTGTCCAAGGGAGGAAACAAGGAGGCAGGGGGTTCAAGACCGTTTCGGGAATCATGAGACTTTTCACTTGTTGGCACAAACTCCTCGGCCCCCTTTAGGCATGGCCAATTCAGCACCTTGTCCTCACCAGACGGTTTCGTTCATGCGATCGGCAATGTCGTCGCAAGCGAGCCGGGTCTTGTCAATGGAACAGGGTGCACCAATGCAGGGCTGAAAGAATCAATTGACATAAAAAGACAGCCTACGCACTCCGAGTCGGCTTTCCGTTTGCATGCTCAAGTCTGTCACTCTCCAACCCCTTCATAGAAGAGGGAAAGGATTTTCATTGATTCTTCGTATCTCAATGCTGTCAGCCCTTGTTCATCCGTTTCCGAGCATAACGTCGACTCCTAAACTCCTTGCTGGCTACTTTTCATCTTTGAATGCATGTGTTCACGCCTGATCATTAAGCGGCAAGTCTTTGAGGTATGGCCAGCCTGTCTCCTCTTCAGGCTTCTCTGGCTCCATCCCCAAGCAACGGCGAAGACACCGTACCTCAGCTTGAAGTCCCGCAACAACGGTGTACTCTTCAGACCATTCATCTGTCCGTAGACGATGAGCGGTGCGGATCATCTCACATAATTTCAATGCCTGAGCATGCCAGTGGTCTCGGTCAAGACGACTCTGAAGATGGTCATCTTTTTCCTGTTGGAGAAGGTTATTGTAGTGTTTGCGCTGTGCGAGAAACCTAGCCTCAATATCGCCGGTGTAGTTGCGGATTTGTTCGGTGGCTGTGCCCAATGCATCTTCATACATGGCGATCAAGCTGGTGTTCTCCTTTTGCTCGTGCTTGTACAGGTCAATGATGTGATTTGCCTTGGCCAATTCACGTTCGAGTTCATGAATCCGAGCTTCTAAACATGGTCAGCTAGGCCACGAACGGCAGCATTGGGATGTTCCTCACTGTCATTGTCCTGGCCAGCTTCGCCCTCAGGAAGTGTACCAGTCGTCCGCTTCGCAACTTCTTCCGCAGCTCGTGTAATGACATTGACTTTCTCCCGATTGCTTCTGAGGATTCCTCCAAGCTCTTGAATCTGTGCAAAGAGATAGTTCAGGTCTTGCTGATGCCCCACCGGAAGAGGGGCCATGTAATTTGCAGCTGCGCCAACTCCATTGCCATTGATCGATGAACCAGGTTGCATAGTAGTAGGAGATGCGCCAGCGCGATTTCCGCCAGTCATTGAAGTATCGAGGGGAGGGAAAGCGTTGTTGGCCATGGTGATTATGTTTCTGCAAAAGCACTCAGAGGAAAGTTGTTGAGTAAAGTGTAAGCCTCTAAGTCTTGTTGGTCGCCGCTTTTATTGATGTGCTCTTCACTTGTTCTCTGCTTGCTCGCCTTGCATATGTTTGTCCACTTGGGACTTTTCTTTTTTGACGTCCGCCCTCTCTGTCGTCACGCTTGGATGTTGTGGTGCTGGTGGCCCTTGTTATTGTCGGGGCCCTTGCCTTCTGAGTCGTCGTCTTTTTTGTCCGTTTTCTTGGACTTTTTGTCTTCGGCAGCCTTCTGCTGGTCAAGGAGGGCTTGGAGGCGTCGGCTCAATTCGACTGGGTCGACGGGGAACGAGGAGTGTGCTCGAGGAGTTTGCACATCCTTCGGGGAGGCGGGGCGGTAGAAACGGGCAATCGACTCTGGCAGTTCGAGGGTAGCGGACGCCGGACTGGATGCGCCTCGTTGTTGTCGATTGCCCTGGGGCAGAGGGCGGGGGGTCGCTTGGCCTGGAGGAGGAGCATCAACAGTCAGTTCGTCTGCAAATCACAGCTTCGGCATCGGAATAACGATCTGCCGAACACAAACTAGTGTCGGCACGGGCCGTAGCTTGCCCATAAACTCGCTTAACTTACCGGATTCACTGTCTATCGGAGACGACATCCTCAAACGGGTTCACGGTGGAGTGAAGTTGGTTGAAAGTGAATTCGATCAGAGAAAGTCACGGCGAAGAAGGAGAGATCCGCACTGCTAACTGCGTGCCGAGAGTAAAAGAATAGTTCACTAGGCTTTCACTTCAGCGGAGACGCTGAACACAGGAGCATCACTTATATTCTTTTACTCTGGAGTCCTTCACGATTATATTAAACAAAATATCTGAAGAGAGAGACCTACAGGGAAAATGTCACTCTGAACCACAGCAGGCGACCAACAGAAAAGCCTCACTATGGTACTTCTGTGCAAGAAGTCGCTGCTGACGCCTGTTACGGTGTACGACAAGTTATCTTCGTGAAGCACATGGTTGTCCTTGAAGCAATCCTGAAACTCGATATTGTTGAAAGGTGACATTGTATATTCAAATCCCGCTGGAACCACCAACATCGTATGCACGTACGTACGGCCCACCCAGGTATCATCATCACAACGCTCAGAACGCAGATCGACAACACTATATGTCACTGTGACCAACCAGATATACAACTCCTCCAGTACTACTGAATTGCATGTTCATCATGCCCTTCGACATCAATCAGTCCGGCATTGATCTGTGCAGCCAGTTGGGACTCTTTAAAAGTCTCAAATCCTTCTGGATCATTTGCTCGTAACATGAGCAATTCTTGAGCGCTCACACCAAGCTGCCGAATGACATTGTCCGGCCCATCCCTCTCGACTTTGCGACGGATATCCTCGCCTTTGAGTTCTTCCAGTTTCAGGCGGAGGGCGGCCAGGTGAGCCGACTCTGCCGGATCATCCACCGTTGTGCCGTGCAGAACATCATCCGTTCCAGTCGGCTTGAGCAATTCTCGTCGCACGGATTGACCAAACCGATGCATGCGGCCTTCCTCCTCTGTAAAAGCTTTGGAAACAAGAGATGTGGTCGACGGTCTTCGTGGCAGGTTAACTTCCAACTCATCCTTCGGGCCGTCAGCATCGTTCGGGAAATACTCCTCTTCCCCAGATGCCATCCTCATCAAACCGTTGGAATCGACCGAAGCCGAGAGAAGTGACACATCGATGGACGGATCAGGAGAAGGTAGCCCATTGGGCCCTGGCGGTGATGAGGCAAGATGCTTGGCTTCGGGGTATTCATCCTCAAACCGCTGAATCATACGTTGCAAGGTTTGATCAAGAAAGAAAAGACGTCCTGGAACATTGTTAGCGCCGAAAGACGGACAAACAGTCTCAACTTACTATAGTTGGCATCATTCCCAGCCCGATCCTCTTTGATCAAAGCAGGCCTCAGCCTCGCTCGTATCTTCCTGGCACTTTCGCAAAGTTCTAGACTGACATCCCGTGGCTTGGATACACTTCTCTGCCGCATATCCGGTCTGGGAGTCACTGTGCCACTCCGGGCAGGACTGATATTCCTCGACTGTACCTGGCTGTTGCCGTCTTTGCTCCCTAGAATCACATCCAGGCACTTGACAATACCGGTAGATGCAATCACATAGTCTTCATCTGGAGCGGGGTCATCCTTATCATGGTTGACCTGATAGCCTTCCATGTGGCCAACGATATGCAACAAGACTTCTGGTGCATCCTTGTCGGCGACGGATGGCTTGACGCCTACTTCGTCGAGAGTGGTTCGTTCCATGTTCCGAAGACTGTAAGCGACCACTTGTGACGCAAGCGCCTTGACCACCTCACTGCTATCGGCACTGGGAACTTCAATTTCAACCGCAATGATCGTCCCAGATACCCTGACGGCGGTCATCAACGAAGCGAAGAATGCGCAGGCTTCTTCTTGGGCTCCTTCTTCCTTGGAGTTCATCACATGGATCAGAGGTTCATTGTCCAGGATACTAATATGAGCCAGCGATGGGCAGTCTGGTAGTATCTCGGCCAGTGCTATAACGTGGTCTGGCGTGAGCCCAACGTCTGTCAGATGTATCCGTCGTAGTGGCACCATTTTTGGCAGCAGTCGTCGGAATATGGGAACGGCATTTGGATCATCGCTGAAAAGGGCTCGATTCCGCGAGAGGTCGATGAATTTGAGATTGGTAAGCTTGGTGAATGGGGGCAAAGCCGCACTCAAGTCAGCGGGTGTCAGATTGCAATCCGAGAGGCTGATGGCAAGAAGCGGACATTGTTCGTCGGCTGCTTCCGCCAAGATATGCATGATGCCGTGCAAGTCATTGCCACCTAAATCAAGTCCCTCACAAGCACCAGACCTGATGTATTGTACCACGTGCGTCACGGCGGCTTGGTCAAGATTGTTATCGGCAAGGCCCAGGCGTCGGATCTTGCGCTTGATTGCACAATCCACAAGGTCCCGAACATGATCCGTGGAAAGACCACAACCGCTCAAAACCAATTCTTCTAGCCTATCGCCCAACCTCTCTGACAGCGCACGGATAAGCAGGGAAGCCAGATCAGTTTGATTATGCGTTGCGTCGCCTGCGGCTGGAAACTTGATACCTGACAAGTCGATGGCTTTGAGAGATCTCGACATGTGCAGGAAAAGCCCGATATGTCTCCAGCCCACGTTGGTAATTGCTGGATTGTCTTTCAGTGAGAGTTTCTCGATGACGCCCATTCGTTCGATGTTTTGTCCAGAAAGCTTTTTCGGGAGCTTTCGATTATGTCTGGCTTGATCGGGGGATTTGCAGCTCGCGAGTCCAGAAAGTATCACGCGGACACCCTCGTCGGTGAGACCACAGTTGTCCAATATCAGTTTACGCACAGGGACGATGGCAAGCCAGTCGCCGAGAGTCACAATATCTTGTAGTTGCATCTGCAATCCAGACAGATCCATAACTGCGACGGTTCCGGGCGCTTCTGACAAGGTCGCCGAGGGTTTTGTTATCTGTTCTTTCATTCGGTTCAGGACCGACGTTTCCCGCAATTGACAACACCGCTTGTAGATGCGCAACGGGTCTGTGGTAGGCCCATTGGCCGACTTCCTCGGAGTAGACGAACCAGGAGGAGTGGTGCTAGGACTGGAGTCGGAGTCGTCATCTTCTCGAGTGAGTTCGAGAGGTATAAGACCATTCGCTTCCGCATGTCTCCTCTTCTTTTCTTTTCTCTCTTTCCGCTCCGCTTCCGACCGCTTTTTCTTCTCCTTCTTCCGCGTGGTAGGGACAGGCACCGGGTCAGCCACCGGACCTGGGTCATCAGAGGACGCTTTGTCCGCAGACGTGGTTTCGGCAGGCGGCGGCTGCTCAGACACGGCCTCTCCGTCAGTAGGAGGTTCGATGCCTTTCAAAGCGGCGCCCTCATCCTTGTCCTTTTGTTTTGCCTGCTTCTCGGTCGTTGCAGGCTTCTGCTTTTGCCCACTGGTACCGGCAGGGCGTGTATATCGGTCGGGTTCTTCATCTGCCTGCGAGGCGAACCCAGCGATTTCAACATCGACACAAAACGCCACCCTTTTGAGTTTGTTCTGGTCAAATTCGGTAATCTTGATACGCTCCCTGTTGGGGTCGATGTTCATGATCCTCCGCGGACAGATTGCACCTGTAGCGGCGGCACCTTTGCCTAGAGTGGTGTTTGAGGAGGAAGAAAGTCTGCGCAAGGCGCTCGACAAGAATCCTGGATGGTCCAACTTGGTTTCTTTACCAGCCGCAACCAATACTGAAGGGCGCCGTGGTGGTGTAGGGGTAGCAGGAGGCGTTGGCTTGGTGTCGTCCTTTTTGACGTCGTGTTGATTGTTAGCCGTCGCCTCTTTCTTGTTGAAAGGATTGGATATCTCGATTCTCGGACTGGCTTGCGGAGCGGGCGCAGCGTGGTTTAATTGTGCATGAGCCTCGACATTGGAGGTGCGCGAAGGTGTAGGCGATGAAAACTTTGAGCTGAAGCTGGCGATCCATGAGCTTCGCCTTCCATCCTTTTTCCCAGCCGGGACATTGTTCTTCTGATTCCTCTTGTCTTCGGTGCTATGGCCTCTGACTAAAGACGGTCGCTGGCTGCGCGACTGTGAGTTTGTCCCGTTCTGTGGCGTATTTTCACTCTTTCCATTGACAACTGGGGTCTGTGTCGTTGTCGTTGTCTGACGGGGAGTGGATGTAGGTTCGCTGGGATTTGGTGGAGGTGCAGACGTTTGCGTATCTTGTTTCTGTGTGTTCTTGTCTGCGGGATGATGTGCATGGTCTGACAACACCGTTAGCAAGGTACATGATCACCGCGGTGCCGAACAAGGCAATTCTGTCTCTTTGTCCTGCGATAGAAGCGAACCTTTCTTCGAATGGAGCAGCCAGTCCACATCGAGGATGCCAGCACCATCACTCGCCATGATTCCTATGCCAGGTCCTGCCACGCAAAAGGAACCAGAGGGACAGAGCTGTTCTACCGTGACTTCATCTGTCGGATACCAGTACGGGATGAAATGGTCTGGGCGAGATGCGATTTTGAAGGTAATGCCGTGATGGAACTCTGGATTGCCCTCGGCGGGAGCTCCCACAGCGTGTCCCACAGCGTGGTGAACTGTTGTTGGCTGAAAGGCGTCGATCGGCTTCTCTAGGGTTGCTTGAGGGTCGCTGGTAGAGAGTCTGGCTGGGCCGGCAGCTGGGATTCTGCCACTGTCGATGCTGCTGACTTATCGAATTAGGACTATTCTTCTTATCGGCCGAATACCAAGGTTGGACCAGTAAATGGCTTCAGAGAGTGCTACCGACCGCACGGGCTATGCCGTCATCGGGCGAACTTTGTTCATTATTGCCCACATTGTGATGGCGTGACCTCCAAAATTGTACATAGTACATTGTAGACGCTGTGCATGTATGGTTGCAGTCTGTCTAGCCCGATGTCCAGGAGGCCTTGGACCTGAGCTGAGGTATCACTCTACTAAGCCTACAGAAACTCGCAGGCGCAAGATGGTAGTTACAATCGTCAGCAACTTATGTCAGAGCCGTACTCAGCAGTAACGCCTCAGAAACTCGGGAACAGACTATGTTTGGTTCAACATGCAATGCGTTTTGGATTCAGGTATCATGGAGTGGCCAAAATCTGTCCCTCAAATCGGACAGACCAGGACCAGTCTCCGGCATCATTTCATTTTGAGACACCCATTGAACTCCCCCAGGAAATCCGAATGTAATTGCAATTACTGAGCAAGAGCCGCAATTTTCTCGGCGATTCTCTTCTCCTTCTCCTCCTTGGACATCTTGTTGACCTTGTACTTCTTGCCCTCGGCCTTCCACTCTTCCTTGGTCTTCTTCTCACCCTCATCCTCATCCTTCTTGAAGGGGTCCTCTCTGATGGCGGCATGGGCCTCAGAGTACAACTCCTCAAGACCGTCAGCCTCAATGTCGTTCTCAATGTACTTGACGAACTGCGACTTGTAACGCTCCTCATCATCGTCGGCGAGGGTCTCCATGTACTCGGCAACGTGACCGCCGAAGATGTACTTGCGGAGAAGTTCGGCATCAAGCTCCTTGCCTTCTGGGTCGTAGCCGGGGAAACGCTTCTCGTTGTGAGGGATGTACAGACCACCGTCGGAAGCACCCTTCATGGCACCGAAAACACGGGCACCAGTAGAGGTTCGGTGCAGACCGACATCCAAGAAGCACTTGAACGGGCGGCGTTCCTCACCGTCCTCACCCTCGGCAGCCTCGGTGAGCTTGTACTCACCATCCGGCTCCTCAACACCGGTGAACTGCTCATCCAGACCGAGCTTCTTCAGCGCACGGCGGGCAAGCAAAAGGCCGGTAGCGTAGGCAGCAGACCAGTTGGTCAGACCGTTCTTGATTCCATATCTCTTCAGCTCGTGGGCGTAGGCGGCCACAAAGACCTTGTCACCGGTGAGCTCGGCGGTAACTAGTTGGCAGATGATATCGCGGTTGGTGAATCGGACGACGAGTCTGTACTTGGGCGCATTGTACTTGTTCTTGGCCTGGGTGACCAGCCGCTTACGGGCGTAGTAGTCGGTCTGGGAAAATTTGTAAGTTTATGAGCTCCAACACCTTCGTCGCAATCGTACCTTTCCAGATCTTCTGCGCTTGTACTTGGTCTGGAAACGGGAGAAGTAGGGGGAGTTCTTGACGCTGTAAACAGTTGTCAGTCACATTGATACGCATTCATGCTTGTTCGGACCTACAGCTTGGTGAAAGGCATCGTGGCGGTCTCTCAAGTAGTCAGGATTGACCTGGGTGTCTGTAAAATCCTCGAATCAGCATTTTGCGCTGCAGACCCAACTCCGCAGCAACATGCAAGGACTCTCTCATACATCTTGTCGTGGGATCAGAGACCGGGTGTCTCGTGTCTTGTTCAGGTTCCGAGCGATTGTACTGAATCGACTCGAGTGGACGATTGACCGAACTGGAGAGAAAGAGAACAAGCGGTCGGTTGGACTCTTGATGTGCGACGGGCTACGAACGGTGTGTGCGCGCCAAGATTTCTCAAGCCTGGGGAGAAGAAGTGGGTGGGTGAAGCCTCGCAAGAATTATTTGCATCAGGCTGAGTTTCACGTGACAATCACCATCCTTCTATGGCCACTCGTATAATCGTGCTATCTATCTCATTAAATCATCATTCATGTTCATAAATTCATCCCTCATGAGCTCTTCGTAGTTCTCATTTTTTGTTAAATCGATCAGTTGTTGTCCGGAGAAGAGTCGACAAGGCGTTTCTGCTATCCCAGTTCCGAATCGTCCACACTTCCACTTCCTTTCCATTCTCCATTTTCTTGGTCACTATCCTGGGCTCCCCTAAAGCAGCTTCTTCGGCCTCGTTCAGCCAATCAGCCCAAGCAGGAGTCTTCGGAGCCCAACCGGCTTCCTTGACCCAGTTGCTGGTCCCGGTGACGGCAATGGCCTTCCACAAAGCTTCGGTATAGGTTGGCGAGTAGTTGTCGATCTTTGCTGTGCGTGGCGGTGTGCCTCCAGCGATTTCGATATGTTCCACTTCCAGTCGTGAGAGGTCCCAGTGTTGAGCAGGAGGCAGGGCGGCGCCAATCCAGTAGCAAATGTTGATCAACATGTAAGACCCAGCAAAGGCAGTCTGCGTCTCGATTTTGGCATTGGCCAGCGAAATGACTCCGCCCATCAAAAGCAGAGTTGAGATCAAGGACAGTCCTCTGTAGATAGCCGTGCTTCTGACAAAGTAAATGCAACGCTCGCTGGGGTTGAAGTAAAGATACCGGGCCGTCCGCTCCTCACAGCTCACCACAATAAACGCCCCCTGCGGATACTTAATCACAACATCTCCCGGAGGCGAATGGGGGTCGGGCTTGGGATCATTCGGAGTCGGCTCCCACTTGTTGGCGATGCCAGTGACCGTACTCAAGGTGGACAGGAGAACAGTCGCCAACAACGACATACTGACCGGTTAGCACCTGCGTAACCGATGGTTTGTGTTCACTCACCCATCCTCATAGTAAATGGAGAGACCCAAAAGCACAGCGCTCATGGCAAACCCGACAAATGCTAGCATTGCCAACGGACCGAACCTCTTGATAGACGGACGAGGCTTGTTGTTCTCTTTGACCCGCACACAACTGACCGTGTTTGGGGCCAGCTTGTCCCCGCGGTGTAGAGCATGGGCCACATGATGTATGTCTTCCCCGGTGTTGCCCGAATGGACTCCAATCACTTTGGCATTGGCGGTGGTTTCGAGCTTTTCTGGTCGCGACGGGCGAATAAAGATCTGCGGTGCCGGGATCAGACGAGGGAGGTAAATGAGATAGCTCAATGTAGCCACCTGCGCAATCGTTTCGACGGAGCCTTCTCCAAGGATGGCAAGGAAACCTGCAACGGAGTTTAGCAGTACATTCCTCGCTTAGGACTGATCAGGATCTGCTGTACTGACCGACAATGTCAAGTTGAAACCCTTGATTGTTGGAGAAGTAGCTCTCGATGAACTGCATCGTCACCAGCCTCCCCGAGCGAGCAAGCTGTTCTTCAACGGTCAAACAACGCCAGTCAGAAACATTACCACGACAACAACAGCATCATGATAGGAGATCTCCAATTCTCAGACTGCAAGTTCATAAATACAGCCACGGCCAGTCCATCCAGTGTGAGTTGTCCCGCTGCTATCACATTCTGGAGGACGTTGAACTGGTGTTCATTGTGCTGCAGCCAAGGCGCTGAGCGTGGAAAAAGCGGTGGATCTGGTCGACTTTGTACCACTACTTAGGCCACCCATCTCTTAAAACGATCGCAAAAGAACTTGAAGTAGAATAAAAGTATCAATTTGACCAAATTCTACAAATCATTCTGACTACTGATACATAAGAAAAACATATGGTGGTAATGACAGAATCCCTCCTCCAAGCCAAGATTGCAAACAACAAAACTTGTCCGTTGCCAGACAGCAAGTCTACTAACATGTCATCAGGTCATAAGAGTATGCTTTTCGGGTATCTCGGTGAAAAATCAAACTCCCACGCCAATAGTGTGAATACATTTCATGTTTTATCGTCTGGCGACCCGCTCTTCAATCTCCATGTTGAGCCTTGCCTGCCGAGCTGTGCGTTGCTCTTCGACACTGGAACCACGCTCTCGGCTTCGATCACCGGATAGCCCGCGAGAGAGAATCCCTCGGAACATGTTGGCTCTGGAGGGTCTGTCATTGATATCTTGTAGAGACCAGGGCATGAGTTTGGGTTCTTGTTTGACGATTTTGCAGAAAAGAGTGGAAAAGATGAACTCCTCGCCATAGCCATTGTAAAGAGGTAAATGTCTGTAGCCTCTCTGCAAGCTGTCGAGTTTGGCGGTAAACGCGGCGAGTTGTCGAACTCCTTTGCCGTTGGGTCTACCATCATCGGAGTTGAAGACGATGAACCGGACAAATACGAGCTCGGGATACTTTGTCTCCAATGAAAGCTCGATTGTCTCACCAAACTGAGGGTTGTAGCCATTACCAAAGCGAATGGATGTCTGTCGCCGGTATGGAGATCCGATGCCGTGATAACCATTTGAGTAAGTCTCTTTGCCACCGGTGCCGTTTGCTATGCCGCGAGCTCTGTCCTCGGCACTGAACATTTGAACCTCGATGAACGGATTCAGCGGAGTGTCTTTGGACATGTTGGCGGCCCGAGGAAGCTGTTGGGCGGAGATGACTTGGACCGAGAACTTGGTCTTGTATCGAGGCAGTTTGACTCTATGCTCGAAATCCCCAGGCTTGGTCCGGGGTTTGCGAAGATAATCAGGCTTCAAAACATAGCCGTAGGCGTCCGTGCCGGCGGCAAACATGGCTTGGTTCATCTGCATGTGGGCATCAAAAGTCTGCCAGTTCAACGCCACCATCTGGACGCCTCGCCTCCAAAAGGTATTGGGGTCGAAGTTTGATGATTGAAAACGCAAGTTCTTGGGATATACTCGGCACATGTAGGAGAGATTATGGTCTTCAAACATGGCTTTATCCTCTGGTGAATGACAGAGCTCAATGGCTCGGTTCTCGTTAAGAGAAAAAATGTGATTGTACTGTTGGAAACCCAGATCACGGGCCTCACGTAGGGTATAACCTTTCAAATATACGCCGAGGGCCGAGAGATATGGACCGACCTTGCTCATCTTCATAGGACGGCGCTGGCTATCGGCAGGCGAGTTGGAATTGGCAGGCGCATCACTCTCATCATCACCACTGCTCGCACTTGTGGCTGTGACAGATCGATCGGTGGGAGAATAGATGGTGTCCGGGGGTGTGACGAGAGCAGAGGTGCTGACGGACGTTGAGCTGGGCACACTGCCGTTGACCATGTGAGGAAGACCTCGATGAGGAGAACTCGCACTGCGATCTCGTCTCCCGGATGCATCGTACCGAGAAGCTTCAAGATCGGCATGGAGTTCTGTCGACTTAACCTTGATCAAAATCTTGTGCTTGAGCTGCTCGGGAGAAGGCAACTTGGTCGTAGAGCCGGGCAGAGGATGCAGAAGAAGCCGATCACCAAAGACATCCATCATGATCTGGACCATTTTGGCTTGTTGCTCTCCGTCACAATGAACTTCCAATGAAATGATCAAGGGGTAAGGCGAGACGTCAAAGGCACAGCGCTGAATGGCATTAATGCAATCGGAAAATAAAACCGCGGTCGTCCTTGTCCGGCCATGTGTCACTCGGGGATTCCCATCCTGACCGTTCCAGCAATCAATCTCTATGCAGCGACACCCGTGACGTAGGGCTGTGATGTAGGCTTCCGCCGAAGAAGTGCCTCCCACCTGCCAGCCAGTCAAGTAAGTATTGTGAGAGCTAGAGATGAAATACTCGTTGAGAGGACGGTCAAAGCGAGGTGTGGGTTCTTCCGGCAGAGCATATACATGGCAATCCTTGGACATGATGAATGAAGCAAAGGCGTTTGAGTCGATCAAATTAGATCCCCGCAAGTTGGGCTCCCCCGGGAAGGATATCTCTACGAGGTGGTTGATCTTTTCTTCCCAGACGGTTGGTTCTGATAGTTGAGAAAAGTTGACGCCCTGGACGTTTTCAAGGAACGAGACAAATTGTGCTCTTGTCAAGCCCGGGCAATGGGGATCCCTCAGCTGGTTGAAGATAGCCTTGATGTCGACTCGTTCACGGAGACGACGGAGGAAACCTTTGAACTGGTCATATGTGAGAAGTCCCGACTTGTCGACGTCCGCAGAGTTGAAGTGCTCCTGTAGCTCCTTTTCAGGGGCGTGGATGTGAAGTTTGCGGCACAACGACTGGATTGCCGGCAGATCGAGACCGTCCGGTTTGACGTTGTCTTGTCTAACCGTACGTTTGGCCATCTCGCTGGCCCAGTGAGCACGCATGACCGATTCACGCTCGGTGAAGCCGACCATGCTTGTCATCAACTCCTCGCGATGCTTTGACAAACTTTCCAAAGTGTCCACCCACAGCTTAAAGTCGGCCTGACTATGGGCGACGAGATGCAAGGTTTTGACGGACTTTGAGGAATCCGAAGGGGTATAGTTGATGGTGAAGCAGAGATCAGGGTCGACCGCTTCACCGCGGAGTTCCTGCTGGTAGCTAGCCGCTTCCTCACCGACACGGATGCTCTTGATGTTGTCGATATGGAAAGTTTTGGTCGTGACCGCACCTTTCCAGGAGACGCGAGACCCTTCCACGTCGAGGAAGAACATCTTTTCTTGCTTCTTGTTCTTGGTGATCTTGGTCAAGAGACAGCCCGCGACGAGGCGCTCCGGGACACAAGGAGCCTGGCCTTCTGGGCTGGTCTCGAGAAAGGTGGCTGGCTCGCTGGAAATGCTCATGGTGTCATAAAGACCCAGGCCTGACTGCAGCTCCATCGGAAGAGTGTCAAAGGAAGGGCATTCCAAGGTGGAGGCATTGGTGACTGCAGTCTTGCTGTCGCTCCGCCGTCTGGTGATGGGGCCTGTGCTCTCGTCCCGGCGATTTTGTGCAGAGGAAGACGCCTTTCTTCGCAAGATTTGTCGCGTGGAAGAAACGCCATCCTTTGCACTCTGAGACAGTTTCCGCATGAGTCCGACTGGCTTGGAGCCCACTGACTGTTCCTTTGGCGGAGGGGAGGCATGGTATGTTGATACAATGGACTCGGGCAACTCAAAGGGAGCTGGGTTCCCGAGCTGAGAGGACTGGTTGACGGCTTGGTAGACCAGCGGTGATGATTGAAGTGAAGGGATGTAAGGGCTCGGGTACACCGACGCGGACGAAGTACTATTGGCAGAGGCTGGCGTAACCGATACTGACTGAGAGTAGGCGCTGTTGATCCGTTGTATCGAGGGCATACGAGCCAACGGTCGGGGACGAGGTGACGGGGAGTCGTCGCGGGTCCGCAGAGCCCGGGCGGAAGGCGACGCTGAGGCGGATATCATGGCGATGGCAGCGACAGGAGGTTCTCGAGTCGTCGCGTTATGGTCGAAGTTGACGGGAGATTTGAGTCCAGCTCTGTTTATGGTGCTTTGACGACTTCATTCTGTAATCCCTTCGAGGGAGTGTCTGACACCACGGCGATTCTTGTACATGGGAGGTCTTGCGACCGGTTCAGCAGCTCCGGAGACCAGCCATGCTGGAGCGCCTGATGGACCAAGGACTGGAAGTGCTCTCTTGCAGCTGCAATGCAGGCAGGGGAGGGCAGGTCGAAAGTACAAAGCCGGAGTGGGCAACGCTCAGTGTCGAGTATGTAGGGCGCTCGGCCTTGCAGACACGGCGACGTGCAGACTCGCGTGATGATTTATATAATGCAACCGGTCAACCAAGACAGGCCTGGTCCTGCAGTCAGACGATCGGCGAACGACTTAGGTTCGAACAGCAACACAAGGGGCCGTGGTAGTCGCGCGGGTGCTGGTTGTGGTTGTTGTCTTGCGAGAGAGTGGTCGGTCACTCAGTTACCCTAACAGGGACGTTCGCAGGATGCAGCGCAGCGTGGGTATAGCGGTCTTGGACAAAGGAAGGGACGAGACAGAAGCGAGCCAGCTGTCTGCTTCAAGGCCAGGGGTGGTCTGTTGATCTGTTGAAAGCGTGTGCGCAGCACAACCGGATAGGAAAACAGTGGTGGTGGTGGTAAAGCAGGAAGAGTATGGTAGGTTCGTCGTCTCTATGGTAGTGGTGGAGGCGAGGGAGCGGATAGTGCGCTGCAACAATGCAGGTCGCAAGAGTCGAGGGTGGATGGAGAGCGAAGACGACGTGAGGATAGAATGGAATCGAAGTGGAATGGGCGGTTTTTCGTTTGGGAAAAATAAAATGTCGGTATCGTAAAGGGGGGGAATGTGTACGAGGCGGTATTTGGGAGAGAATGACGAGCGCGGCGGTGAGGCCAAGTGCTGCTTTTTGTATACGACCAGCACTCTACTTTTATGCCTAATTTACCATCATTTGTTAAAGGATCAGAGGCATGCGACTACTTCCTATACCAACAGTTCCACCAGTAAACTTGCTCTTCCATCTTCAACGCCGTTGCATTGACTGCCAGTGATGAACAGGATTCCCCTGTTCTGCGCAAAGAATCAACAGACGAAGGGATGGATTCTTCATAACTGCGGTGGTGCCGGAAGCGGCAGGAAAACTCCTTGTTCCTTGCCCGAGTTCGTATCCTGCTCTTGTCCATACCTAGGTATAGGCTTCGAATTCAAGGGATGGTCGACCCAGAGGATTTTAACAGGGGGCGTCACTTGGCTTTCCGGCCGTTTGACCATCGACTCAGGTAGGTAGTCGACGTTGCAGTCTCCGGGTGCGGTTTGTGGGTGGCCAGTGGCGCGGCACACTAGGGGGGGAAAGCAGTGGCTCCTTCAGGCTCTTTAGGCCCAGTTGGCAGACGATAGGCACCCGGCATGGACACCGGTACGGGCGCGGAAACAGGTACTGGCAAACGCTAAAAACTGGGCTGGGGGCCAATGGCTCCTACGAGGTGCCTAGAGGCTATCTGAGATGGACACTGGCAGTCTGTCCGACCAGCATCCGTACAACTAGCTCTAGGCTACGACTCCATGCCTTAGAGCCGCCTCAGCGCCCTTAGCCCCCCATTTAGGCTTCTGCCGTGCCTTTGCTTCCCCTGCCTATCATCGTCCAAGTTTGCCTACCAAGGTACTAGTTGTACTAGCAGTCGCAGTAGGTCCATGAGGACCCAGGACGCGTGCTCCGCTGATCTTCTCAGAGGGCTTAGAATGTTACGGTTATTTTTGGAAAGCAAATACGTAGGACTATAGGACTCGGTAGTAGTATTCTGGAAACGAACCAAGCGAGCCTAAGGAAGAAATAGTCCTGGTAGTCAACGTGGGTATCGGAGACAAAATGCAAGGCAGACGGCGAGTTTATTTTCTTGCGGACGGCAACGATTCCAGCATCCGAATTGTTCACTGTACAGTACCTTCAACTAGCTTGCCTACTGTAACTGATACCGTATCTGTCCACAGCCGTCGAAATGGGGCTCTCATCTTGTGCTGTCACAGCTCTGCCTCCCTGTCGTTATCCACGTCAAAAAGATGACCCGCGATATCCCTTCCGTCCGCTTCCACTTTCGATCCATTTCGCTTCCGCCGTCGAATCATTCTTATTGATTCAGGCTTCCACTCTTGTCCGGGGCGTTGCCCTGCCAGTGCTCCCCAGGTCGAGACAATCCGTGTCCTTCCACACCATGACCTGCGGCGTTCCACACGGCCTTCAAGAGAAACCTTTGGCAGACGTGTAAAAGATGATAGGATGGACAAATCATGTCATACCAGATTGCGCTATTGCGCGGTGCGAGCACGTTCAAGTTGCCGGCGAAACCATTTGGCGGGTTCTGCTGGATGATCATATCACTTTGCTGGGTTCAAGCAACACATTTCAGCTGACCGCATGAGTGATCTTCAAGGCCCTCGTCCTGACACGGCTGCTCACAGTCAGACATAAGAAACAGGCGTTTAGATAGCCCTTGTCTGGAGGTGGCTCTTGCGGCTGACCCATTCGCACTGCACCACGACAAATCGGTCCCTCTTGTTATCGAGTCTGCTGACAACAGACACTCTCCTCTCTGCAGAGAGAACTGAAGTCAGAAGCATGCTTGTGCAAAGCGAGTACGCCTCTGCATCCCGCCTGTCGCATCGTGCCGTCCAGCTGCGTCCTCGAAACACTAGTCAAGCAAGCTGCAGTCCGACGATGAGGAATCGAACACTGCAAGGCAAAGTCACCGGTCTTACGCAGCATACGTGGCCAGCATTATATCCAATCTATCGTCGATGCCTGACCGCCATAAGATGCAAGTCAGTACGACAACCCCCACACCAGTGACGAAAGGGAGTCGCCGTCGGTCCAGACGGCAATCTTGTGCCACCATGGGCCAGCTGTCTGGGAGGCTAGGGGCCCGTTAGTAATAGCAGATGTACGATGTACGGCACTTTCGCGCACATATCCCGCTGGAGGATCAGGGCGACCAATCCCTCAATTTGGGAGCGATGCAAGAAACGCCCGACGGTGCACTCAGCCGTGGGCGAACAGTTTTAGACCGCTCTACGCGAACGAACAACCTTGGAAAGCAATGGTTTGGGACGTACTTGAAATGACCCATACAAATATTGTCAGCCCGTCCTCAGTACAACGGGTCTTGTCCACTCGACCAGGACCCGACCTGCTGGGCCCACGCTACAGTAGCTGGTTAGGCGGCCGAGTCTGTCTCCCTGACCTTACTCCAGTCGCAACGACATAGCACCGCTTGCATCCAGCTGCCATTTTCCAAGAGGGCTCAGGCACAGCCGGAGATCCGTGCGCGGTGGACAGCGTCTGGACGGAAGCTTTTCGTCTGGTGGGAGAGTCCTGCAGCGCGTGCGTAGTTGCAGGTTTCTGTTGTTGGCATCCAGAGCCAGCATTCCGCCCGCCCTTCCCAACGAAATCTTGAAGCCAAACCTTCAAGGCCAAGCATGAACGACTCTCTGGCAGAACAAGGCCATGGACGTGGCCTGACTATGGATTGCCTCAGAACGAAAAGCAGTAGAATGATACCCACCATTGCCTCCTCCCTGTCGATCTTGGCCCTCTCTCCGCTCACGGCAAAGAAATTTTGACAGCTTCGGTGCCTGTTTCAGGAGCCATACGGCGCCAGTGCGATAACCAGACCATCGTGGAGACCCATTGACGTGGTGGCTACTTCGCTTACAGGACATTGGCCAATCCCGACGCCAGAGATAAGACCAGGCAGAATCGCAAGCTGCACCCCGGATTTAACCATGTGTCAAATCACATCATCCCTTGATGAGACCTTGCTGGAACTAAAATGACAAGCCTCGGCTAGGGAACCCGCCGGCGGTGTCTGACGTGGCGGTGGGCCAAAATTGTGCAACACAGTCATAAGTGCTTGCCTACGAACCCCCGTCCGAGCCAGAGCTATCTTTCTGCGCCGCCCTTCAGGAAAGCAAGGGGTCCTGCATTGATGGTGGCAAGGGGTTGCGCATACGCTTTATCGTCTGCCAATGTGCGGTCACAGCCCTTCTCTTGTCATGACTTCCAAGCTCCGAGAAGTTCGCATATTGCTACTCTGCGAGTGAACAGGGCGAGCACTTGAGGTGAATGACCCCTGGGTTCTGTGAAGCCATAATCAATCCGTGCTTTCGCACATCTGGGTAATACGAGGTGGTCATGGTGTAGAGAGCATGCAGGGCACCTTGGAAATTGCGGCAGTGGTCTCTATCACCCCTGCCAGCCAACACAGTCCATGAAGTTACCCTGAGAGATCTCATTGGTACCACATATCATCTAATATCACGCATTCTTGCAAAGCGTGGGACGGAATTCCAAGTGTTCGGACCATGGTGACAAAAGGGGCAGCGTCACGAGACGTTGCGCCCGATCTTCAGCAGCTCCAAGTTCTTGGGACGGCTATCCCCTTGAAAAGAAATCCAAGTCGACCAATCAGACGCGCTAAGGCTGGAGAGTCGGTCTCCCTCCAGGTATTGTATGCAGGACATACTCGCTACTGCGCCAGCACATCATTCCTATGCAAGCATGAGATAGCGTGATGTGCTGGCAAGCTGAAAGTCATCCTTGCAGATTACGGATGTAACTCGCAGGGACACACCAGATTCAGTGGCCAAAACAGGACAGTCACCCCTTGCGTCCCCGAATCTAGGGGCGAACAGCACAGTGCTGAGTACTGCATCCAACTCTGTGATTTGGTTTATCCCGCGGCGACAGCCAGATGCGCAGCATTCTCACAGCTATACAATAATGGTAGGGTCATCGATTACAAGAAACAATGACAAAGCACGTACAGTATCAGTCCTTCGAAAGGCTGCAGGTGCCATTGACCATGCCGTTCAATCACTCCCACGCCCAGCTCTACGTGTACTGTGTCTGTCTAGCCTGGGGGGACGGCTCCTTACCGACGATGTATACCTATCTCATGTTGCACGTCGCCCACCTGGAGAAGGCCACCGGTGCAATTTCACCCCGCGAAAAGGCAACCAAATCAGCTCTCCCTTGCAACCGATCCCCAGGTCAAGCGAAGCGCATCGACTTGGGATGGTCAGGGAAGTTAGAAGATGGGTCAGGACTGTAAGTGAAGCACATTGCAGTGTGCGATACAGGTTCAGATTGGCAACACTACCCACAGCCGTCAAGCCGAGGCAGTGAGACCTGCGTAGATATTTGTTCCATTTTCGAGTGATTGAAATGTTACATTCCAGGGCAAACCCCCCTAGATTTGGGTCTCCGTCCACGGAATATACATTGTAGTAGGCTCGCCAGGCTATTTGGTGGATGACTGCAGTGGTGAAATAATTATAGTACCAAAAAAAGTGCCATCTAGTATGGCGCTGCGATGCCGCGTTTGCGAGACCACAAAATTTAGAAAAGGCTCAAACTTAGAGTGCACAGCACCTTCGTAGGCAGTATTATATCATAGTAGTGGCTCGAGAGGAAGAAGCACAAGCGATCGTATAGTATAATTCAATTTTGACATACCTACCATCTATTTAATGGTTCAAGGTACACGAACTACGAACGAATGCCTAGTATCGCTTCCATAAGCAGCAAAGAAGAAACCATGTTCTCATGCCTAAGTAGGGATGTGTAGTCTCCAAGTACAAACAGCAATACTACTCGGCTTGAAGCGACGGGTGAAAAAAGCCTGTTCTCACCTGTTCTCACTGGTCGTTTCTGGACTTGTATACTGTACCCAGCACGGAGGACAACAGTCTTTGCAATTCCAGTCAAGAATGTCATAGGTATTCAACCCTATCGAGACAGCTCTTATCTGTACAACTAACACTACGACGGAGCAGTTTGTTGCGAGAACATAATCTCAATCAATTCTCTGCAATCCTTCTTCTCTTCCTGGCAGTGCCCGTGGTAGGAACAGGCGTTGCGACCTCTGCCGTCGTCGTCGCAGCACCGCCACCGTCATCATTCATGCCCGACCCGACGCTAGAGTGCCGAGCACTGGCCGTTGCGCTGGCGTTGGCGTTACCGTGAAGCTGCTGATGCGCGGATGCGGCAGGAGGACCAGAACCAGATCCAGATCCAGCGTGTCCAGTCTTGGGTCCGGTGCCTCCATCATCATCACCTAGTCGTTCTACATCTTCGCGCCATCTGCGGATCTGCGCCAGCACGTCTTCAAACATTTCGCGAGTGTCGGAAATGATACCCCCTTCGTCAGCGGGAGTGCCCTGCCCGCTGGACGTGACGTCGCTTTCACTTGTTTCTTCCTCGTCATCCGAGTCAATGTCCTCCTGATCCCTCTTCAGGCGCAGAGACCGGCCAAAGCCTCTCTCCGATGTGGGCAGGGGATTGAACATGATGGCATTGGCGAACATTCTCACCAGCTCCATCTCCAGTTGTGACGAATTGACAATCCCTCGCGGAGGCACCAAGTCTTCAGTGACTTTGACCAAGTAGACACCGTTACCGATAGGGCCTTCTCGCACAGTATCCGCTGTTGGTGGGGCTGAACGGTTGTTCTTCTTCGGGGTGTCATCCTCACTTTCGTCTTCATTCTCCAAAGCCTCGATCGCCGCCAACGCCGCTTTCCCACCTCGAGATATGGCCGCTTTGATACTCTTCAAGTCCTGTGGACGATGCACTAGATCCTTGTAGCCGGGAGCGTCGCGTTCGGATAGTGGTTTGGCAAATATCCCCGCCAGCTTATGTGACAGAATCTCGTTGAGGAGAAGCTGTGACGTTTTGGCAAAGTTCTTCGAGACCGCGACGAGTGAAGAGTCGCGCGCAGTCCGTCGTGGTATTTGCACCGAAGGGGGAGATGGTAATTGAGGAGTAGCCGAGTCTCGTTCCGGCGAACGCTTCCGCTTGTTGGCAGCAGTCCTCGAGGTGGAGGTCTCCTTGGTCGCCTTATCAAGCTGCGTGGAAGGGGTCTCGGCTTGTTCGTTGTCCAACAACATTGGAGCAGGCGTACTCGGTGGTTCAGCCTTGATCTTTTGGGGCGGACGGCCTCTTCTACGTTTTTCCGTAGTGGGCTCAGATGTAAATGAGGCCATTGACGCAGATCTAGACGCAGGTACAGCCGACGGAGTGGCGCTTGCTGCCTGTCTGCCTCGTACTGTTGAGGCCTCTGGGGCCGGCAAAAGGTTTCCGCTTGTTCTCTGGCCCGGTCTGTCAGGAGTCTGCCTGATTTTGCTGGCTTGCGGTGACATTTCCGCATCCTTTTCAGTGTCTGTGAGTGGACTGACATCCCTTTCAGGACGGACTGGGCTGGGCTGGCGACCGTTTCTACCTGAGTCGACACGTTTCTTCCAGGGCGTCGACGAGCGGCCTCGGATCAACTGCCGCCTGGAATCGCTGCGAGGCACGGGCGTAACATTTGCAGGTCCAGGATAGCCGTAATATGGCTGTCCATATGGAGGATGCCAACCATGAGGCGGAGGCGGCTGACCCTGATAATGACCGGGAGCGCTCTGAGGGTATGGTTGGTAAGGTGGGTGGCGCGGAGTCTGATATGGCATTCCCGGCCGCCCTGTAGGGGATTGCACATAATAAGGCGCATTCCCATACGGTGGCTGAGGGTACTGGTGTTGTGAGGGCATCTGATGCGGCCAAGGGGGCGGAGGGTATCCTGGATATCCTGGATAAGCCTGCTGAGGCGGCATAGGAATCGGTGACCCTCTGCCCTGACCAGATGGAGTGCTCCCTCGCTTGTGGCCTGGCATCTCGGGAGGTGGAGGCATATGAGGTACGCCTGGCATGCCCGGCAGCACCGGGACAGGCTGACCTTGCGGCCCCGGTTGGTAATGCTGAGGATTGATCGGGCCATAGTTCGGTCGTTGAGGCGATGGTGTCGGAAGGGTACGGTGGAAAGCTCCTGGGGAGTGGTGCGGAGGATGGCTAGCCGGCTGCGACTGACGACCTTGACCGGCATCTGGTGCTTTTACTGTTGTGAGGCTGGGAGTAGATGGTGCCGGAGAAGCAGACGCTGCCACAGGTGGCTGTTGAGCCGATTGAGAAGGAGAAGTAGACGCCTTTACTTCTGTAGCTGGTAGCTCTGGTTTCGATTCGGCCTGCTCGGCACGACTTGCATCAAGGCTGGCATGCAATTGAGCAGCTGCTAGATCAGGGCTGGGTCGGCTGTCGGACGCACTCAGAGTGCCATCTTCGGTTTGTTCCTTGGGTTGCAACGGTGCCTCGATTTTGAGTTCTTCAACCACGCTCTGCTCTTGTTGCTCGCTTTCAATCTTATTCTCCAGCTCGACAATCTCAGCCTCCAGTTTCACATAAGCCTCCTCTTCCACGCGGATCTCTTTGATCGTCTGCTCGCGAAACCCCGCGTAAAGTCGGTCGACCAAAGATTCAAACAGTATCTCGTCGGTTTGATGGCCATTTTCCGGAGGAGGAGAAGCCGACAGCTTCCTTTTGCGCGGGTTCACATTGTCACCGTTGGTTTGAGGGACATTGGAGTTTTTCTCTTCCACCAGTAAACCCTGGTACAGCTCTCGAAGCGCGGCCGCAGTCAATCGAGTATGGTCGTAGGCTTGGTTCTCTCGAATCAGTTGGTTTGTATTCAGCGCTTTCGCAATGTCCTCGAATGCTGGGGTGTCGGCGCCATGACGGGCCACAGACTGACAAAAGGCAAGCGTCTCGTAGGGTGTATAGGCGGTTAAGGAAGGCATCCCATCACCGCAGAAGTGATAAATGTAGACGCGATGGCCTCAAGTCGTGACGAGGGACCCTGACACTAGTTACCAGAGGCACTACGCGTAAAGGAGAAGACGCGTGGGCCGCCGCCTTCAATCTCGATACGGACGATGGGAAAGGCGACGGAGCGACGGTGAAGGAAATGAGATGATGGAGGTGGTGGTCTACACGAAACAATCGGTGATGTTTGGAGTGCGGAAAAAATTGCTTGAAGTCCGTTGCTCCAAATCTGATGATCTGGTGCAAATTGCAGGATGCCAGTGGTTGTATGTAGATTGTACAGTAAATTGTACTGGCCGGCTTTTGGCGGCTCTACAGATTCAACACCAAAGACTGCCACACCCTACTATTCCTACATAGTCCAATGATAGGCTCGTTGCTTGATGGCAACCAACAGACATTTACTGCGTGTGCAGAACGGGAAGAGAAGATCGTATATACCGCCCACCAGCTATGAGATGCAGTGTGTTGCTCCGCAGTGACAAGAATTATCCAGGCGCTGGAGATCAGATTGGCATGATTTGCACCGCCTAGAGCTCTGCTCGGGCATGGCCATCCAGCCTAAGAACCCCTAGAGTCCCCGGTCCACCTCGCCTGTTGAACATTGGCCGGGGTTCACGTTCTTGGGGCGTGCAACTTCCGAGTCCCTGCACAGCATCCTAATCCTTGCATCCAGCGATCTGCGACCTTCGCCCCTGGCAACCTTCTCAAAGCCCCTAATTGAATCGATGCTGTGGCTGCCAGGTGTCTGGTTCGCGGCCTATTTACCGCATGATGAACGTCCTCCTGACTGACCATCCAAGAGATCGGTAGATGACTTCTGTTGACTGAACACCTACCTATTAATGCAGTGGCAAAGCATCTTCTGTACCGCCGCGGACCACCCAGTCTAGCCTTCTTGTTGTATAGATCGCTGCATCGCCTCACCGACAAGGCAACCACCATCACCTGCGCAGTCAGCCTCGCGCTCAGAATTGAGCACTTGACTCATGACTGACGCTGACGCTGGGCGTTTCGTCACTTTTGGTTCAGTATTCTGTGCGATCCGTATCATATATTTGTCGACTTGACACCCCTACGTCCTTGTTGCTTGTGTTGAATCGCAAGGACAACTCGCCCAGCATGAGCGCCCCCAACACTACCGGTACCCAAGACAGCGACTTCCAGCCAAATGGCCGGCCACAATCGTGAGAATTTCCATGAATGGATTGCGTGATGTTGTTCTAGTACTGAGTTCCCATGCAGTACTCTGGCCCGCGACTTCTCCGCCGCCCTCGATGACTTATTCAAGTTGAACGGCATCGGAGCCTTGGAAGAGTCGGTTGAACAGAAGTAGGGCGACATCATTCCCCGAACATACACATCATTTGTTGACCACATGAACTACAGGAAGGACACCCTCCAGACTCAAAAGTATCAACTGGATGACCTCGACGCCAGATTGCGAGAGACCGACGAAAGGCTGAAGCGACTCGAGGCCAAGCATCACCGCCATTTGCAAGCGTCAAGCACTCCGCCAAGGCAACCCGTGTCGTCCACGCTCCCAACCGACTACGACGGTGAGGACAGCGGAGATAGTGACGCGCACGCACAATCATCGCCTGCACGAGAGCCACCACGATGAACTGGGGGTTGTCATTGTTTTACATGGTTATAGTTGAGTTGCGGGTCGTACATTGGGATGGAGTTGCCCATTTGCGCAGATACTCGGGGCGCACATGATAGCACCCGCAACAGTGGGATGGATTAGTTTAATAATGTTCGTTCGGGTCGTGCCTGGTCTGTTGACTTATCATGATGGTTCCTGATTGTTTGCTTTGGCAGAGCGGTATATCCTATAGACGGTGAATACATCGTTTCACACAGAGCCTCTTGGGAAGCGGTTTGCTTCAATTTCAGGAGCAGGAGGTTGCGCTGTCGCTGCAAACACACCTTGTCGCAAGTACTCTGTGGAATCTTGAGGCAGCACACTCGTATGCATCTCCTGCCAGTGCGCCTGAGTCGGGGTGCTGACTCAGTGTCGAGCACGCCTAATCAGGCAATCCAAGCTAAAGCTTGTGGAATCAAGCATCTGGTCGTTATGCAAGGGCATTTCAAGCCTCGAGCCCTGACTGGTTACAGTCAGCAAGCTGTGCCGTGCGTGCAGAATGTTGACGTCCTTGTGGCGCAAGCTGATGGTGTACCATTGGAGCGACAATCGCAGGGAAGCCAGTTCCAGTGAAGAGACACTCCGAAATAATACCGGAATGTGTATCTCGTAGACGATGGAGACGCACGTCTCCTTCTGAATTGGATCGATTGCACAAAATAGGCAAACGGTGGTGGTGCAATAGTGCAAAGCTGAGTAAAGACATGCATTTCGCGACCATGAGAATCGCGGGGGCATAAGCTGGCCATCATATATGAATCGGACTTTCGAATCTGTTGCGAGCCGGTCGATGTATAGAATCAAACATTTGGGCGGAGTATCACACAGCGGCAAACCCTCAGTCAAAGACCAGACCACAAAGACACTGCTCATCCGCATGATGGCAACGATGAAAGCCGCGGTAATGCATGAAGCAGGCGGCCCAGAGGTCCTCAAGCTTGAACATCTTGACATTCCAACTCCAAAAGATGACGACGTTCTCATTCGGGTCAAGGCATTTGGCCTCAACCGTTCCGAGCTCTTCACCCGTCAAGGCCACAGTCCAGGAGTCAAACTCCCTCGGGTCCTTGGTATTGAGGCTGCAGGCGTGGTAGACAGAAGTCCTGGAGGCCAATTCAAACCTGGCCAAAAAGTTGCCACTGCCATGGGAGGAATGGGACGGGACTTCAATGGCGGATACGCCGAATACACGTGCGTCAAGGCAAGCAATGTACAGGCACTAGAGACTGACCTGGACTGGACCATCGTGGGAGCAGTGCCTGAAATGCTACAGACAGCATATGGATCTTTGTTCAAGGCGCTGCGATTGACGCCCAAAGATCGTCTCCTGATCCGTGGAGGGACGACCTCTGTCGGACTTGCAGCTGCTTCTATCGCCAAAAACCATGGCTGTTTCGTTGCATCAACAACGCGGAAGTCTGGGAAGCCCACGGCCGATTTGTTACACAAGAGTGGAGTAGATCAGGTCATCGTTGATGACGGCAACGTTGCTGAACAGGTGAAAGCGGACAAGTTCGACAAGGTCTTGGAATTAATCGGGACAACCACTCTGGAAGACTCATTGCAGTGTGCGGCTGGAGGAGGAATTGTCTGCATGACTGGGATCGTTGGTGAGTTTCCATAGAAATTCTGGTGATCCTGACATTGACCAGTTTTTAAACAGGAAATAAATGGGCTCTCGATCATTTCGCTCCGATGGATGCCATCCCAAACACTGTCTGCCTGACTATTTATTCGGGTGGTCCTGATGAGTTCAAGGAAACTCCACTGAACGACCTATTGAAGCAGATTGACAACGGGACATTGCCTGTCCAGATTGGCAAGGTCTTCAAGCTGGATGAGATCGTCCAGGCACACGACGCCATGGAGAAAAATCTCGCCCGCGGCAAAATCGTCGTGCTGGCGGAGTAGTCAGCGAGGAGCCGTGGTTCTCTCTCAATACCAGGGGTCGTGTCCCAGAAGAGCCACACTTCCTGCCGCCCCTCGAGGCAACTCGGATACATGTGCATTTCTTCTTCAATGCAACCGAAACATGAGCTGGATCCGGAAGGTCAGTTGATTGCCTTGTATCCGCCGGCTTCTTTGATATGATATACTGTTGCACAAAGGCACAACTTCACTCTTTTGACCAATTTAGTCCTGAGATACCGCCTTATGTAGAATCTTTTCGCGCTTCCTTACTCCACTCATCGGCTTACGTGGGCGAGCAGTTCGCATCTGCGATCGAGGTTTCCCATTATTCCACGTTTGCCACACATCCAAGCAAGGTCTCTGACCAATAAACTTGCCCATTGGCGTAAAGACTTCCACTTGTGGAAAATTCAAGTTTTCGGCCTCAGCTGTAGCAGCAGAGGTGCCAAAGGGAACAAATCCAGTAGTCTCAATTGAGACGCTCTCGGCTTTAGGCACAGGCGCAGCCGACGAATCTTGATCCACAGTACTTGCTGTCTCAGCCTTGTCAGCCTCAGATGATCCCCGCCGTTTCCTGACCTGGCAGACGAGCTCGACCCAGCCAACGCCTTCGATAAGGATGTCCGTGGCATACACGTGGAAAGGCAACTTCGAAGCAGCGACTCCCGCCCTGACCACGGAGCCTGCTCGTGATTTTGTGACATCCGTCTTGAGGTAGAACTTGCCAGCCGAAGCCATTGACTCTCCTGCGCCTTCGGAGAGGATAGAAGCAAGGCTAGTTTCATGCTGTTGTTCTTGTGCACTGATGGCTTTTTCCGTGGAAGTGACATGAGCCTTCAGTGGCACGAACGGATAAGCCATCATTATCGTGCTTGGGTCGTTCTCATCCAAGATTGGGGTTATCCGGACAAGCCCACCCCCAAGGAGTAGAGATTGACCAGGCTTTATGTTGTGTTGTGTCACTGTCGGACGGTGCTCCATGACAAGGTCGAGTCTATCATGTTCACGGACAAAACGGTCTAGTCCGCCTCGTTCCAAACCCGGTAGGTCGATCAGCTCGCCTCTGTTATTGCCGAATGGCAACCTGATGGGGGATGCAGTCGTCCCAGGTAGACTCGACACCAGCGGCATGGCTGGAAATGGAACCTCGGGTCGAGGGGGAGGAAGCAGACTGTTTTCACGCAGAAAGTCGCTGGTTTTAGAGAGGGCGGGAGACTCGATCTGTTCTTCTTGCTGCTGCTGCAGTAGTTCTGCGTAAACTGGAGCCCTCTCGCCGGAGCCCTTGGGAAACAACACTTCAAAAAGACTCGATTTTCCGACATTGAACTTCCCGACCAGCCAGTTGCCCCCTCCACGCTGCCAAATGCTATCCTTGATGTCCTTTGTCCACCATCCTCTCTTCGACGAAACTAAGTGGACGTTCCCGAGCCGCATCTTCTGATTCTTCCGGCCCAACGAGCTTCTGAGAAGCGCGAGTAGTTTGGGCATCATTTTGTCCACCATCTCTTTGTTGGGCGCGAGCAGATCTGACCGGGTGATTATAAATGAAAGCGAGGGCTTCGACGAAAAGGAGTGCTGGGAACGACGGTTCTGACTTCTCGGTTTGGCCAAGGATAAGCTCTTGTAGATCGACGGTATCAGAGACATGGGGAAATCTGCGGCATCTAGGACGTGGTAGACGTGGTTCTTCGAAAAGGGCGACTCGGCAATCGAATCTGCAATGTCTTCGATCGAGGGATGGGCAATGGGCACCCCGCGAGAGTCGTGGATCAGATGATGACAGCGATCACAGACCGGAGGAGAAATCGACGCCTCCGGCTCGGAAAGATCGAGCTGAGTGTGTTCACCATCTTTGTCCGCAGATTGTTCATTTTCCCAGACATATCCTTCCTCGGGACTATCTTCCCTGCTCGCTCGACGGGACGCGTTCTCGACCGCTTTGAGGTACTTCTTCACCGTGTTTCTCGTCCGTGTATAATATCCCGCTTCGCCAGGTGCAACATCCTGAGTCAGGGCGCCACATCCTGGACAGGAAACAGGCAGTTGGCCTGCATCCCGCCTTATCGCCGCAACAAAGCCTCGAGGTTCTCCTCTAGAAGGAACTGAGCCAGTACGGTCTTGTCGTGATTCCAAGTAGGAAGGCGGCTCTAGGGAGGAGTCATGGACTGCTGGTGTCTCAGTGTGCAAGGACCGGTTGCTGAACCGCGAACCAGTCTTAGGGATGAAGCCGGTGGCCGGGCGGAGGCTGCGTGACAAGAGTCTACCCAGACGACAAGGCCTACAAGCTCGACAGGCAATGTCCATATGCTGCGGATAGTTTGGTAGAAGAAACGGTGTCACTATATGCGGAAAGTGAAGATGTTCAAGTTGCGGCCAAAGTCCAAACCCCATGTTGTGGAGTAAAAAAGTGTCTGTATGATGACTAAGACACCACTTTTGCTGAGTGACCCTGGACAAGGGTTTGGCCACGACACGGTACAATGCTAGTACTGCAGCTTGTTGGCCACGGTGGATGGGGACAAGACGGTAACGGGGAACTCTTAGGGAATTTGCCTGCCAGTCGTCCTGAAAACAACGAGGCCATTTGTATCCTGTGCTCGACGAGCTCGGGGGTTGATCGATTTCGAACATTTGAGTAGGCGGGAGGGGATATTATTATTGACATTATTTGACCGGTTTATGGCTTGCCTATCAGAACACGACAGCCAGGTCACAAAACGGTACTCCAAGTAGCCCAATCACCCGTTTGTAGGGAGTCACACAGCAGACTGACATAGGTTGTTCAACAGTAAAGAGTGGCGGGCAAGAGAAAACACGGCAATGATGGGAGGGAGGTTCTGCGGACCATTCTCGGATGACGGCTTCAGCGTCAGTCGCGCGTGCTTCAGACTGGACTCGTGAATATGTGAAACAGAGTGAATTTAGACACTTCCAAAAATAAGGCACAAAATGCACGCTGGCAGTCCAGCGTTCTGGAGTTGTCCTCGAGGTAGTCATGCTCTGTTAATCATCGACGGGGAGAGTCATTGAGTGCCAGTGTATTCTTGTTCCTCGATACACCAACATTGTGCAGGCCTGCTGTGATTTTACGGAGGACTTGTCCTATTTCAACGGGGCCTAGGGCCTCGTCAGACTATATACTTTCTAGGGGTTATACGATAGCGTACGACGCTAGCCGAGACCGAAAGACGAGTCCCGACGTCTTTATAATACTTAGTACGTAGGGTATCTATTTTATTATATCCTCCTCTATCTAGACCGTCGAATAGCCTTATTTATCGTCGAAGAACGTCGAGTACCTTTATTAGCCTTATAGTAGAGAATAAAATAGTATTTCTATATCTCGAATACTTCGTTTCCTAAGTAGTTCTATCGTTAGAATAAGTATCTATAGTATCTATATCTTCGGTACCGATCGAGATATATAGAGTAAGTATATATCTCTTATCTTTAGCTATAAAAGTAGTATATACGCTTAGAATAGTAAAGCTAAATAAATCGAGGATAAATTAAGATCGTTAAGACGGTAAGTAAAGAGAGTCTATACGCGTAATAGTACTCGTCGTTACTCTTCGAAGCTAATTCGGGATTAATCCGGCGGGGTTTTAAGAAGTATAAGTAGGCGTCTCTTACTTCTTTTCTCCTTACTTTCTTTTATATCTCTTTCTAGTTATTTATACTTTTAAGCTCTAAGTCTTTTATCGATTAAAGCTAAATATTCTATAACTACTATTATAGTTATTATACTATCTAGATAAGTTAAGACGCCGACTAGACTATAAGTTCTAAATACTTAGTACTATCGACGAGTTAAGAAGATAATTAAAGATCTACTAGTAACTAAGACGATAAAGATAGCTTCTTTTATAAGTATACCGTACTATATCGAAAGGTATAGTTACTAATTCGTTTCTAGATCGATAATAATATTTATAGCGTTAAGTCTAGCGATATAATAGTTAATTCTATTATCTAGGCGAAATAGTACTAGAAGTAGTTTTTTTCTTCCGATAATAGCTTATCGATTTAGCTATATAGTCGTATTTCTCGAAGACCCGTCGAATTTTACGGTTAGAGAGATATTACTAATATATATATTAGGAATACCCTTATAGAGTATATAGTAGATATTATAAATAATCTATATTACGAAATATATCTTTATATAGTTAAACTAGATTCTTATTAAGAGCCGATATTCCTAGAGTACGTTTCGATATCTATCTCGAATTCGTCTACTTCTACTAATACGATATACCTTTTCGGCGGAAAATATATAACTTACGCTATTCGCGAAGTTAATTATTCTTTATCTAGTAATCGAGATATAAGTAGCGAAGCTTTTAATTATCGTCGGCCTACTATATTAATATTAACGCTTATTTAAACGCGTAGTACTAAGAAACGTTGTACTTAATCTTCTAAAATATAGAAAGAAGATCTAGTAGAAGATATAAGAGAGGTACGTTTTAGCGAGGAAATAAGTAGTCTATATATAGCCGACGAGGCTAGAGAGATAAGTAGTCGTATAGCTATCGAGATTAAAGATCTAGAGGATAGATTCGACTTCGTATTATCGCTATAGACGAATAGGCTGCGCAACGGGTTGGGTAGGGCAGGGTTTAGGGCACCTACCGCCCGCCTAGTTAACCTAATAGGGTTTTTAAAAAAAGCGCTACCCTACCCTTATAGGTTTCGGGTAGGGTAGGGTACCCGATAGGTTTTACTAAGAACCCTAAAACCTAATTATTAATTAAGATCTTCGTAATATATTATACTCCGTAATAAAGTAATATAGTATATAATAACTTATTATAAGTATTATTATAATAATTACTTACTAATTTTACTAATCTATTATCTACTAATCGTAATACGAGAATAGATATATAAGGAAATAAGTATATATATTCGAATATCTAGTTAAAGTTATAATTATTATATACGCCTCTTTTCTTTCTCGCTACTCGAAATCTCGACTATAAGAGTAAGTCCTCGGCTACTATTTCCGTATATTTATAATTATAATAGTAGACGATTACGACTTAGAAGGCTCGAACGAGAAGAAATCCCGTATCTAGGAGTTAAAGTCCGTCTAGAGCGACGTCGAGTAGAATCCGAGAATAAAGCTAACGTTTCGAATATAGTAACTAAGAGACCTCTCGAGCTAGAAGACTTCGAACTATATATTAAAAGAGTTAATTATCTAAAGAGAGTTAGAGCTTTTAGTATATTAAACCCTACGAAGACTTTAAGTATTCGTTAGTTTTTTATAAGTAGTTAAGATATTACGCTCGACTATTAAGAAGAGTTATTATAATCTTTATCTTAACGACTATTAATCTCTATATCTAGTAGATTAAGATTAGATTTATCTTTATCTTCGAAATACTCTATTATATTACTAATATAGTCTAGTTAGAGCGCTAGATCGTCGTCGTCGTAATTATTATATAAGATTATCGATTTTTCTTATTCCTCGAAGGCTTCGAGTTAGTAGAAGAAGTCGCGAAGACTATTTTTATTAAATATTATAAGTATTATAAGAAGTTAGATTATATCGCTCTTTAAATAATAACGACGATACGAGACGAAGTCTCTTATCGTATTAAATAATTATTTAAGACTAACCTTAATAGCTAGAATAGTAAAGTAGTCTCGAGTAATCTTTACTAATATCGAAAAGCGATCTTCGTTCTTCTTTTACTAATTAAGGATATCGAAATCTATATCTTAATAATATTAGCTTTCTATATCTAAGCGATAGTAGAGTACTTATACTATTAAACTTCTCTATCTTCTTCTTTAAGTATTTTTTAAGTTCTAAATTACTCGATATACTTTATTATTCTCGAGATAATTAAGTAAAGAGACGAGAAAGGTTCTAATTATCGAATTAGTTATTTATTAATCTAATTACTTAAGATAGTATAGATATTAGAGAATATATCTAGAGTAATAGTAAAGTATACGGCGTAAAGTATAAAGCGTCGAGTATATCGTCGTCTAAAGAGAGTATTTAACTAGAACTTAATATCGAGAGAGTCGATAAATTAGAGCTATCTTAAGAAAGTAAGGACTAAATCTCCCTACCCGAAGTATTTAAATAGAGTATATTTAGATAATTAATATATTTAGTTTTCTACCTATATATTAGTAATATAATAATCTTTATAATAGATAATACTGTATTTATAGTATACTACTATCTTCGTACTTTTATAACTCCGTCTCGAACGTTATCGCCTTCTAGATAGAATAGAGGATCGTCGTAACGCTATATATATATCTAAGTATATCGCTTATCTTTACGTAGTATTTAGTTAACTTCTCTATCGCCTATTCTAGTCCTCGATATATAGTAATCTTTTAAGATATACGCTTTTAAGCGAGCTTCTACTAATACGTCTCGATATAATTAAATAGCTCGTTATATATCTTATAAATATACTAGACTATTAGATCATAAACTATAGCTCCGATTATATTCGTATAGAGAGTAAATAGCGTAAGAATATCGATAAGATACTATATCTATAGCCGCTCCTCTTCTATTAAGCGAATTAACTCGATATTATAGTTACGCTATAATTCTCTATTAAGAAATAGAACGATTTTAGTTATAAGCTTATCGATACGTATAAGTATATTATATATCGAGTTCTAGCGAGTTACGATATCTTAAATTAGATTTAAGGAGTAATCGCGTAATTAGTAACTTAAGAACCGCGAGCGCCTCTAGAGACTACTATTAATATATATCGCTAAGTTCCGGATCTAGAAATAGTTAGTAATAGACCCTTATAAAGATATATCGATAATACGAATATCTTTTCGAATATCGCTATAATAGAGCCCGTAGTATTATCGACTAACTCTATATCTATATAGAGATAAGTTAGCGGCTTTAATAGATTTTATTTCGTAATCTATACTTCGTTTCTTATTATAATACGTAGAGCGAAGAGTAATACCTTAATCGCTAGCTAGATTATATATATAAAATATAAAATCTAAATAAGACTATTTAATTCTCGGCCGAGAAGGTTAGTTATTTTCTAAAGATACCTAAATATAGTACTATTATTTCTCGTATTATCTATAGTAATATAGAGAATCTAATTAGGTTAAATATTAACGTTCTCTAGTAATATAAGAAGATATACGTAAAGGGTTTTATCGATTAACTCTTTATATATTAGGGCGAAGTCTACTAAAATCTTCCGTAGCTTCTAGTTTATATTAATAAAATAACTATATAATATTAGTTATTATAGTAATCTTTATAATAGTATATATCTCGT